ATGAGGGCACCATGACCTCCTGGCCGCGTTCGTGGCGCGTGTCGTCGCCGTGGCGGCCCCGCAGCGAGCGCCACGAGTCGGCGGCGTCGAAGGGCGTCTCGGGCGTCGACCTGCTGGCCGCCGGACCCTCGAGATCGCACAGATCGCGTCCGAACGGCCCGAAAAAGACGTCGCCGGCGTGGACCGTCGACACCCGAAAACGCCGTCTCGCGAAAGGTGTGGATTTTCGCGTCGGTGGTGTCCGAGGCGTCCGTGGGCACGGTGTGAGTCGAAACGAACTCGCAGAGCCGCGAGACGGCGACGTCTTTTCGATATGCACAGGCCGTGAAGATCCGGCCCGACGCGCTCAGCCGTCCGAACGCGGGTCCCGGGACATGTGCGGGCCCTCGCCGTCGGAAAGGTGGCGTCCAGACGCGAGACATATCGTACCGCAACGCCGCCTCGCGCGCACTTCGCTGGCTGGAGGCTCTGCAGCAGCTCGCGGCGCCGGTTTCGGCGAAGGCATTCGTCGCGCTCGATATGCACATCGGCAGGAAATCTCGAAGCGGTCGAGAGTGGCGACGATGCGTTGCAGGGAGCTCACCTAAGCCTTGGAGAAGGCGAGACGATGCGCAGCTCCCGGCCTCGCGCCGGTCCGGACGAAGCGCAGCTCGTGCTCGGCGTGCCGTGCATCAGCCCAGCGAAAATCACGTTTTTGGAGCGTGCTGCGCGCGCGCGAAGACGTGCGCGAGTGAGCTGAGAAGGTCGTGGCGGACGGCCAGCATCCATGAGAGATCAGCGGGACCGAAGCGCACGTCGGCGGGTGCCACGGCGCGCCGGCGCCGGCGCCGGGACGAGATCAGCGGGTTGGTGTTGACGGTGCAACAAACCGGCCCTTATGGGGCATCGGCAGCGGCTTCGACACGCTGGCGCCGCAGGCCTGGGGCGCGGACGAGCGGCGGAAGCTCGGCGTCACGGCGCAGCGCGTCCTCGCGATCCTCGTCGTCGCCGTCTGCGCTCCGGTCGTCGCCGTCTGGCTCAACGCGTCGTCCATCTTGCTCGCCGCGGGCCAGGACCGGCGCGTGGCGCTCAAGGTCGAGAGCTTCGCGCGCATCCGCGTCCCGGGCCTCTTCGCGCAGGCGCCCGTGTGCGTGATCACGTCGACCCTGACGGCCATGGGCAAGACGCGGGCGCTCCTCGCGCTGAACGTGCTGTCCGTGGTCGCGAGCGGCGGCCTGAACTGGCTCTTCATCTCCGCGCGGAGCCCGCTGAGCGGCGCGCTGTCGCCCGTCGACGGCAGCGCGCTGGCGTCGACGTGCGTCGACATCGCCGGCGCGTTCGTGCTCTCCCTGGTCGTGTTTCGCGACGGGGACTGCCGCGACTGCTGGCCGGGCTTCGACGCGAGGCGCTGCTTCCGCGGCTGGGGCCCCTACCTCGCGCTGGCCGTGCCGTCGCTCGTCATGGTCATCATCGAGTGGTGGAGCTGGGACTGCGTGAACCTGCTCGCGGGCCTCGTCCGCGACCCGCGGACGGCGCTCGCGGCGAACGCGCTCCTCGGGAACGTCATCTCGCTCGCCTACTGCCTCCCCTTCGGGCTGCAGGCCGGGACGCGCACGCTCGTCGGGAACGCGCTCGGCGCGCAGAAGCCGGAGGAGGCGAAGCGTGCGGCGTCCGTCGGCGCGGTCCTCGGCGTCGGCGCCATGGGGGCGCAGGCGCTCGCGCTGTACGCGGGGCGCCGCGTCTGGTCGACGCTCTTCGAGGGCGAGCGGGCGGTCGGCGACGCCGTGGCGCGGCTCCTGAAGTTCGTCGTCTTCTTCGCGGCGGGCGACGGCGTCCAGCTCGTCCTCTCGGGCATCGTCACGGGCGCGGGCAAGCAGAAGGTCACGACGCCCATCCTCTTCTTCAACTACTGGCTCCTGGGTCTGCCGCTGGGCGCCGTCTTCGCGTTCCACTTCCACGAGGGGCTCCTCGGTCTGTGGAAGGGCATGTGCCTGGCGGTCTGGCTCCACGTCGTTGCCTACGTCGCCATCGCTTTCTCCGGCCGCCGGCTCGTCTCCTTCGCCATCGACTACCCCGCGGCGGCGGCCGAGGCCGCGGCGCGCCTCGAGGCCGAGCGCCCCCCCGAGGGCGCTAACGGGACTTAGTCGGGCCGCGCGAGCGCGAGGCGGCTCTTGACGACCAAGACCGGGCTCGCGCCGTTGAGGTCGCCGAAGCCCGTGGCCGTGGGGTCGTAGACCGACAGGATCTCGAGGCCGAGGATCGACGAACCGTCCCACTTGTATTTCGCCTGCACGCGGCGCGCGAGGATCGTCGGCACCGCCGCCGTGCCGCCGCCGGCGACGGCGATCCTCGAGTACTCCGAGGACCCGAATGCGCCGGGCCCGGGCTCCTCGAAGGACCGCTTCGTGACCTTGAGCTCCAGCAGGCTCCCGCCGGCGCCCTCGAGCGTGCAGACGTTCGGGTTCGACGGCTCCCAGCGCGCCTTGGCGCTCGCGTAGCCCGCGCCGAAGGCGCCCGCGGCCGCGCGCCGCTCGGCCTCGAAGCCCCGGTCCGCGACGACGTGCAGCCCGTCGCCGTAGGCGAGGTAGCGCGTCTCGTAGGCCTCCGTTTGCGGCGTGGCGAGAAAGAGGTTCGCGAGCTTGGCGGCGTCGTCGCCGAGCGGCCGCGTCTCGCTCGCGACCTCGCGCGACACGCGCCAGCGGCCTTTAAACGGGTCCGCGGGGAAGAGCACGTCCGGCGGGCCGAGGCCGGGAATGTTCGACGCGGCCTTGCGCACCGTCTCGGCCGGCGCGTCGGCGACGGCGGCGAAGGGTGCGGCGAGCGTTGCGCCGCCGATCGTCGTGCAGACGTCGCGGCGATTGATTTGCAATGCGCCGGCCTGATTCAGTGCCTGCGCGACTACGAAGAGACTGAATCGCATTGCGGTGGCCTGTGTGCAAGCGATGCGAGGGCGCACGATGCGAGGGCGCATCGTCAGGCCCCAAGTTCAGTTAAAACGATGCCGTCGATCTTGCAGAATAGTTAAGGCTCTCCGCGCGCGGACGAGAGGCTGCCCCTGTTCGGGAGTACCTGTTGGCAGCGCAGCCACTGTTGGCAGCGGCGGGCGCCCCCTGGAGCAGCAGCAGGCCCCCCAAGAGTAGCCGAAGAATGGCCTCCCTGCTCGACGGGCAGATCGCGACTCTCGCAAAGAACAGCCGCGACGCGGACCTCCACAGCGGCAAGGGCGCCAAGCAGGGCGACGTCGACAGCAAATTCCGCGGCAACTGGAACTACGCGTCGCGCACGCCGACCTTCAACGCGTTCCAGTTCCTGCCGACGCCGCCGCCGCAGAAGCCTCGAAAAGCCCCGGCGCCGCCGGTGGTCGAGGAGTGCGAGGACGCCGTCGCGGGCCTGACGCTCGCCCCGGCCGTGAGCGTCGAAGAGCCCGTCGAGGAGCTCGCGGCGGAGCCCGAGGGCGACCTCCTGGAGGACCCGCCGCGGGACGCGGACGTGCTCTGCACGATCCGTGATCGCAACGGCAACTACCGCGGCTACATCGCGAAGGACGGCGAGTGCCGCAACAACCGGGATACGCTGCTGGGCTTCATCAACGAGGAGAGCGGCCAGTGCGGCACCGCCGACGAGGAGTACCTCGGCTGCATCTCCGACCAGAGCGCCTTCAACAACTCGGACTGCGTCATCGAGGACGCGATCGACGAGAAGTGCGGCACCCTGGACATGGGCACGGGCTACATCAAGGACTTCAACGATCGGATCGTGGCGGAGCTCACGCACAGCGGCGTCTGCACGGGCCACGCCGGGAGCTACCTCGGCGAGTTCGAGGGCTTCTCCTTCAACCAGATGAAAATCGTCGCGCTCTACCTCATGCTCGTCGACCCGGGGATGTTGAACGAGGTCGAGGGGTAGTCCGAGTATGAGTCATTTACGCCGCGCCGTCGTCGTCGTCGTCCCGGGCCGCCAGCCGCGCGCGCAGCGCGACGAGCCCCTTGACGCGCGCGTCGCGCGCGGCCGCGCGCGCGGGCGCCGCGGCGCGCTCCTTCTCCGCCTCGGCGTGGATCTCGTCGAGGTGGCCCTTGGCGGACCGGTGGAGCGTCTTCTCCCACTGCGACTTGACGCCGCCGTCCACGGGGGCCGGCGCGTCCTCGGCCGGCGGCGCCGCGCGCCGCGCGGCGACCTCGAGCATCTCCTTGACGGTCCCGCCGTCGGGCGCCGGCGCCGCGTCGCCCCGGCTCCAGGCCCAGCGCGTGCCGCCGCCGTGGTCCTCGTCCGCGACGCGCGCGCGCGGCGGCGCCGCGCCGGGCGGCAGCTCGCGGCCGAACTCGTCGACGGGCGGACCCGGCGGCGCCGCGGCGCCGCCCCCGAAGTCGACGAGGAGCTCCGCGGGCGCGCGCGCCTCGCCGGCCCTTAAGTCCTCGTAGAGCTGCGCCTTGGCCGCGAGCTTCCGCCGCGAGAGCGCCTCGCGCTCGTCCTCCTCCGCGTCGCGCGGCGCCGCCGCCTCGCGCTTCCTCGCGAGCTTCGGCCGCTTGCGCCCGGCGTTGTCGAGGTCGTCGGCGCCGCCGCGCCGCGCCGTCGCCGTGCCCCGCGCGTACTTGCGCCCGCCGCCGGAGGCCTGGGCCGCGGCGTCGAGGGACGTCTTGAAGACCTGCGACTTGAGGCCCGCCATGGAGCCCTTCGGCGCCTCGATCTTCTTCGCCTTCGACGGCATCAACGCGCTCTCGGTGTTCCATCCTAAGGACATGGTGGAGAGCTGGACGGTGGCCGCGGAGGCCGCGGGTGTGGAGCTCGAGCTGGCGGCGGCGGCCGCGGCGCTGGAGGCGGCGGCCGAGCTGCGGGTGTGGAGCTCGAGGGGCGCCGGCGGTCGACGTCGACCGGGCCGCGCGCGCGCGATTTCGGCCTCGGCGCCTGCCACGTCCTCGCTCGCGCCGACCCAGCATAATTCCTCAGTACCCCCGGGCCTTACCCGCGGCTCCGCCCTCAGTGCATCTTGAACTTCATCTTGATGTCCATGAACTTGGAGTGTTGCCTCGAGAGCGTGGAGTGCGTCGGGATGTTGGCGAGGCGCATGGACCAGTGGGAGTCCTGCTTGAGGGGGAGGATGGGCGCCGTGCCGCCGAGGGGCGACGACGACGCCGCCGTGACCTCGGACAGCGAGCGGAAGACGGGCTGGCCGTCGTCGGACTCGAAGAGGCGGTCCGCGGTCCGCGCGCGGTCCATGAGCGGGTAGCGCTCGCCGCCGCCGTGGCTCAGCCGCTCGCCGAACTTCATGCGCTGGAGCTGGCGCGCGGAGAAGTTGTACTCGAGCCGCGGCACGATGGACTTGACGGACTCGTTGTCTTCCGGCGGCCGGCCCATCTGGAAGCCCCGGTTCCGCCCGAGGCTGCTGTAGCCGCCGATGGTGCGGTAGCTCCGCAGCCACGTCGCGATGGACCCGTCGGAGTGGCTGTGGCGCAGCGTGATCGTCGCGGGCTCGCGCGGCAGCGCCGTCGGGCTCACGGGCGCGGTCCGCACGGACGCGGCGTCGCCGAAGCTGCCGCGGCTCGGCGAGTTGGCTTTCCGCGTCTCCGGGCCCGGCGTGCCGCCGTCGGGGGGCGGCGGGCTCCGGAAGCCCTCGACGAGCTGCTTGTCGACGGCCTCGATGATGACGTGGTCGATCTTGTTCGACTCGAGGCGCCGCATGAAGGACGCGAACTCCTCGATGGTCACGGAGTTGTCGCCGTTGCGGTCGAGCACGCTCCAGACGAGGCGCAGCTCCCGCGGCGCCATCTCGAGCTTCGACACCTCGAGCTCCTTGTAGACGACGTAGCGCAGCTCGTCGAACGTGATGTCGCCGCTGTTGTTCTTGTCGTAGTTCTTGAAGAGCTTGTACCAGGACCCGTTGATCGTCGCGTTCTTCGCCATCTGCCGCCGGATGCGGTCCGTCAGGCGCCGCACCTTCTTGATGAGCGCCGTGCGCGCCTCGCCCATGCCGCGCAGCCGCTCGAGGTCGGCGCCCTCGTAGATGGACGTGCTGATGTCGCCCTCGTCGAGCTGCTTCTGCCGCCGGCCCGCGGACTGGGCCCGCATGCTCGGCCGCCCCAGCATGGCCCCGCGCAGGCGCCGACGGAGAGGAACCTCTCGATGTAGCGCAGCCCCGAGAGAAGCAGCCCGCCGAGCATGTATCTTCCTGCGCGGATGAGGTGCGGGGCACCATTAGCCTGGGCCGGGCGCGGCGCCACCGGGTGTCTAGGCGCGGCGCTTGTCGAGGAAGCCCTTGGCGTCGAGCTTCGTCGCGAGGAGCGACAGGTCGCCCTCCGTGAGGTCCTTCTTCGGCAGGCGGCTCGGCCCCACATCCATGCCGACGGCCTTCATGAGCGCCTTCTGCACGTTCTTCGCCTGCGTCTCGTACTGGGCGAAGTAGGTGCAGAGGTCCGCGTTCCTCGCCTGCGCTTCGAGGGCGCCGGCCGTGTCGCCCGCGGCCCAGAGGCGGAGCGCGTCGCGGAGCGTCGGCGAGTAGCCGATCGTCGACGACACGGCCGCGGCCGCGCCCATGGCCAGCGCGGACAGCGCCATCTCGTCGCGGCCGTAGAGCATGTTGTACTTGCCGCCGCCGACGGCGACGCAGCGCTGGAAGTCCATGAGGTTGTAGTCCTACGAAGGGACGATCGGATATTCGCGAAGGGAACGACGGCGCGGCGGCCGCGCCGTGAACTTGATGCCCATGAGCGTCGGGATCGCGCCGGACGCGTCCGCCTGCTCGAGGAACGTGTGCGCGGCGCCGGGCAGTACGCCCGTGTCGTCGGGGAAGTGGTAGTACCTGCCGCGCGCGGCGTCGCGTTCCCGGCCGGACGCGGAAAAAACGCCGGCGCGCGGACCAGAAGGGCAGCTCCGGCGCGGCGGCCGCCACGGGCGCGAGGAACTCGATGAGCGAGTCGACCGTGGGCTTGAAGTAGACCGGCGTCATGGACACGATGCCCCTGCAGCCCTTGACGGTGCCCGCGTGGCGCGCGAGCTCGATCGAGTCGACGATGGACTCGGAGCCGATGTGCATGTAGACGTTGAGCTTGAGCGGCGCGGCCGCGGCGACCCAGGCCTCCAGGAGCGCCTCGCGCTCCGCGACGGTCAGCGACAGCGACTCGCCGTTCGAGCCCGCGGGCATGACGTTCGAGATGTTGCGCGCGGCGACGAACTCGGCGTAGGCGGGCACCTTCCCGAGGTCGAGGCTCATGCCGTCGGCGGCCATGGGCGTGTACCTAGCAATTATGTGTTCCCGGCTACCATCGTCGGGGCTGCCAGACGCTGGCGCAGCGTACACAGCGATCATCTCGCCGTGGATGCCGTGGTCGTTGCGGTCGAAAGCTGTTGAGATGCCGAGGACGACGAGGAGCGCGAGCTTGGCCATCATCATCATCTTGTGGTCACGAGCGCTAGTGGATGGGCAGCAGAATCGCGAGCGCTCTGCGAGAAGACACGACTCGCGGGCTGCTGGGTTGCACTGCATCATACATTCAACACCAACTCGAAGCGGGAGAGCATGGGGATAGCATGGGGATCTAGCATGGGGCGGATCGCACTCCTTCTCAGCGCAGCCTACGCACTTGCGCCGCTCGCGCCGCGCCGCCGCACCACGCGACTCTCCAAGGGCGCCTTTCCCGAGCAGGAGTTCAGCGCGACGCCGCGGCGGTCGCTGCGCGGCGTCTGGCGGCTGCGGCGCACGTGCGACGAGGACCGCCACGGCATCGACGACATCGTCGTCACGCTCAAGGCGTCGGGCACGTTCTCCGCGGCCTACTTTCCCAGCGCGCCCGCGGCCGAGGACGTCGCGAGGACGCGCGAGGCGTTCGCGGCGAAGCTCAGCGGCCGCTGGTACTCCGACGGCGACGACCGCGAGGTGCGCCTGGCGCGCTTCGAGCGCCAGTCGCCCGTCGAGTGGTACACGGCGACGCCCGCGGACGACGCGCTCCTCGGCGCGTTCACGGGCCACGTGACCTACGGCGCGAGCTCGCCCGAGTGGATCGGCCGCTTCGAGATGGAGCCGCTGTGGCCCGACACGCACGCGGCGCTGCCGCCGCCGCCGGAGCGAGCGCCGCGCTTCCGAAACGCCGACGCCGTCGGCAGCTGGTACCTGGTCTGCCGCGGCGGTACCTCGTCTGAGGACGCCGTGCTCTACGACCTGCGGTTGTACGCGAACCGCACGTGGGAGACGGTCGACGGCTTCGACGGCTCCGCGTCGCGGCGCGAGGCGGGCGTCGCCGTGAACCGGCGGCTCGGCGCCGAGTCCATGCGCGGCGTCCTCGGCCTCGAGCGGGCGGCGGCGAAGGAGACGCGCGCGGGCCGCGACTTCCTGCGCGCGGCCCTGGGCGAGGACGGCTCCGAGGAGCGCGCGGCGAAGCTCGCGGGCACCTGGGACCTCTTCGACGAGGACGACGGCCTCGACTTCTTCGCCGGCGCGCCGGGCGAGGGCCGGTCCGTCTTCCTCTGGTGCCGCCGCTTCGGGAACGGCGCGACGCGCGTGTCGTCGGGCGTCACCATCGACAGCGACCTCCTCTTCGTCGGCGTCGTCGACGGCGACGGCACCGCGGCGGCCGCGGAGGGCGTCCTCTCCGTCGGCTGGAACACGGAGCCCTGCTTCGTCGGCGGCTTTACGATGACGCGCGCGGACGCCTAAATTAGGACTCACTTCTGCGCGTCGCTGACCATCATGGACCCCATCGCCAGGAACGCGAGGAAGGCGCCCGCGGCCGCGGCCGCGGACGCCGCGGCGAAGGCGACGCCGACGGCGGCGACGGAGACGGTCCGCGGGGCGTCCGCGGCGTCCTCGGCGGCGTCCTCGGCGGCGTCCTCGAGGCGCGCGGCGAGGCGCGCCTGCTTCCGCGCCGCGCGCGGGAAGCCGTCGGCGACGAGCTCCGCGATCAGCTTCGCGAGCGGCGTCTCGTCGCAGCCGCCGCCGAGCGATTTGGGCACGGCGGCCCGCGGGACGCCGTTCTTCTCGAGCTCCGGCAGGTACTTGGACGGCCCGCCGAGGATCTTGATCTTCGCCTTGGTGACCTCGTGGATCATCGGCGAGATCATCGCGTAGACGGAGCGCACGGACCACGGCGCGTTGACGAGGAACATCTTCCAGAGCGTCTCCGGGTAGTAGGCGTTCGCGCCGGTGATGATCGCCGCCGTCATCGCGCGCACGGAGCCGCGGGACATGAGCGACGTCAGGGACACGGCGCCGAGGTCGACGATGTAGACCTGCTTGTAGCGCTGCGGCCCGCGGCGCTCGCAGGCCCGGATCTGCGCGCAGCGGATCGCCTCCATGGTCTTCAGGCGAATCGCCTTCGCGTCGTCTTCGGAGACGGGGACATCGACGACGGCGCCGATGTCGCCCAGCTTCTCGGCCCAGACGACGTGGCCGTAGAGGTCGACGCCGCCGAGCGTCGTGCCCATGGCGCCGGCCACGACGGCTTCGCCGGCGCGCGGCGCGGCGAGCACGTCCCCGTGCTCGGCGAGCCACGCGCTCAGGCGGCCGTAGGCCTCGACGGCCTCCTGGACGCGCGCGTCCATGGGACCCTTGTTGTTCGTGATCATGCCGCGGAAGATGCGGACCTATGGCGACGTTTTCATCGGGTTCCCGGTCGAACGCTCTCGCGAATCGTCGCGGCCGCGGGACGCCGATCCGCGCCTTCGACGTCTCGTCGAACGCCGCGAGGATCGACGATGAATCGATGCCGAGGCGCGGCTCGATCTCGTCGCGGAGGAAGGCCTGCTCCTCCTCGGTGATCAATTCGTCCTCCAAAATGTCGCCGTTGAGCGGCAGGTTGAGCTTTTCCAGCTGATCGTCGTCTTTTGAGACGCTCGGGCTCACGGCGCCCCCGGCGAAGAAGGCGCCCTTGCTGAGGCGTCGCGAGAGTTTCGGCGTCTTCAACGTCTCGAGGCGCGCGTCCGCCGCCGCGGCGCGGGAGGAGGAGCACCCCATGTAATGATGCGGCGAAATGCTGTTTGAGGAAAACGGCGATTCATTGCTGCGGCGGATTTGACCTCAGGCGCGCGGCGCGGCGAGTTTACGACGCCGGGCGCGGCGATGACTAAGGAACAAAGGTTCCTTGCCGGATGTCGCACCGCGTACGCCGCCGGCGAGAATCTCAATGAAATGGTTTATGACAATTGGAAGGGAAATGCGAGCCGCCTGTACCATGCGGCGAGCTATGGCTGGACCGAGGTTGTGCGATGGTTGTTGGAACACGGCGCGGATCCTAACGCTGACGGGACTAGCTCCGGTATGAAGCCGCTCCACATCGCCGCTGGCAGGAACGGGACGTCCGCTGCGCGCAGTTTGAAATGCTCGGCCCTGCTGCTCGACGCGGGCGCCTTCGTCAATGCGCGCAGCGATTCAGGGTACCCCCCACTCGTTTATGCTACAGTGTTTCCCGAGAAAAAAATGGAAACTCTCAAGCTGCTCCTGAGTCGCGGTGCGTCAGACGAAGCAAGTTTCGTTTGGGGAGGTGTGGCCGGAAACGTCGAGGCCTTCGCGCGACGTCGCGGGGAAGCAGACGCGGCCGACCTCCTCGCCGAAGTCCGCGCGGCCGGAGGATGGGCCGCCTACGTGTCCGCCCCTCGCATCGAGCTCCTGGAATTCCGTCGCCGGCTCCCGAAGCTCCGCCGCGAGCCGCCGAGCGCGCCCGCGCCTCTCGAGCGCCTTTTCGCCGACCCAAAAGTTCCCGAGGACGCTTTCACTCACGTCTTCTCCTTTTGGCGCAGCCCGCGCGACTACGTCCCCGCCCCGAACTAATGGAAGATAACGCGTCAAAGAACGTTCGGTGAGACTCGTGCCAAATCTGCCCACCACTCAGAACACGCCTCCTTAGGGACTCGGCGGCGGGCTGGGCACGACGATGGGCGGGTGCTCCGCGGCCTTGAACTCGTCCCAGGCGTCGTTGAGCGCGATGATGACGGAGCGGCGGCCGCGCTGGTGCGCCGTGTCCACGGGCCGCTCGCTCGCGGAGTTGCGGAGCGTCTGGTTCGCGCCGCGCGCGGTGAGCAGCTTGGCGATCTCGACGACGTCGTCGTCGCTGCCCGTCTCGCAGGCGGCGACGAGGTGGAGGGGCGTCGCGCCCGACGCGTCGACGGCGTCCAAAACCGCGCCCGCGTGCACGAGGAGCTTCGCGATGTGCGCGCGCGAGTTCGCGCAGGCCGTGTGGAGCGGCGTGCGGTGGCGCGAGTCCGTGGCGGCCAGCAACCTTTCGAGGGGCGGGCCCTCGCCGACGTGGTCCAGGAGCACCTGGACGACGTCGACGTGGCCCCGCGCGGACGCCAAAACCAAGGGCCGGCTCGCGGAGCACGCGAGCGCCTCGGCCTCCGTGTAGCCGCGGAGCTCGCCGGACTTGGCCGACGCGCTGTGGGAGAGCGCCGCCTGCGACAGGCTCGGGCCGGACGAGTCGCGGGCGACCTTGGCGGACGCGGCCGCGGACGCGAGGTAGGGGTTCAGAATCTTCTCCGGCGGCGTCTCCTTGACCAAGGTCCGCGCGTTCTTCTTGGTGACAAAAATCTCCCCAAGCCCCAGCGCGTCGCCCAGCGCGTCGGCGCCGGCGTCGAGGCAGGCGCGCACGGCCTCCTTGCTGCCGCGGCCGCACGCGTAGTCGAGCGCGGTCGCGCCGAACGCGTCCGGCTCGTCGACCTTGCCGCCGCGGCTCGCCAGCAATCTCACGGTCTCGCCGTCGCCGCGCGCCGCCGCCGTGCGCGTCGCGTCGTCCAGGCGGGCGACGCCGTCGAGCCGCTCGGCCATGTCGTTCGCGGAGTCGCGGTCGTGGACGAGCGCGCGGAGCTTCGCGCGCGTCTTCTGCAGGTTCCGCCGCTTCGTCGTGCCGATGGGCAGCGTCAGCTCCGGGTCGCTCTCGAAGTCGCGCACGGCCGTCTCCGCCGCGTTGATCGCCGCGAGCCGCACCGCGTGGACCTCGCCGAGCGTCTCGCGCGTCTCGCGCTTCCGCATCGCGTCGACGTGGCGGCTCAGGCGCCGCATGTGGCGCGCGTTCTCCGCCGCCTCCTTGCCCGCGGCTAGGCGCTCGACGACGGCCTCGGCGGCGAGGCGCTCCGACGCCTCGGAGACGAAGCGCGCGTTCTTGAGGCGCCGCTCGAGCGCCTCCGCGCGGTTGCTGCTCTGGACGACCTTGGCCATGATGACCTTCTCCACGAGGGCCGCCGTCGCCTCGCCCTTGCGCTCGGCCTTCTCGATCTCCTCCCACATGCCCTGGATGACGCCGTCCTTGGCCTTGACGACGGCGGCCTCGGCCTTGGCGCGCTGCGTCATGAGCTCCAATTCCTCCTCGCACTTCTCCAGCGCCAGCAGCAGCTGGCGCGCCCCCTTGGGCCGCGGCTTGCGCCGCTTCTTCTCGCTGGGCTCCGGCGACGGGTCCCGCGGCGGCGACTCCGCGGGCGCCGCGGGGGCGGCCTCGGCCTTGCTCTCGTCGGCCATCTCGAACAGCGCGGCCAACGAGGTTCACGAAGCCGTCGGTGCCGCTCCTCGAGCGCGCTATGGGCAGCTAGTCTCAGACCATGGGCCTCTCCGACGAGCAGAAGAAGGAGCTGAACCGCAAGAAGCGCGACGAGAACGCGGCCCACGCCTACGAGCAGATCCTGGGCGAGCTCGGCTTCGCCAACGTCGGCGCGTCGGTGTCGCGCAAGGAGCGCGAGGAGACGCACCAGCTCGGCACGCCCCACCTGCGCTACGCCGAGGCGGGCTTCGACCCCGTCAAGGTCGTCCTCGACAAGATCCAGGACACCTACGGCAAGCCCAACGTGGGCCACAGCGGGCCCGGCGGCCGGCTCCAGCGCGACGGCGAGGCCGTCTTCTACGACTTGGGCAGCGGCATGGGCAAGGCCGCGCTCGCCGCGGCGGTCTGCTTCTCCTTCAAGCGCTGCGTCGGCTACGAGCGCCTCGAGGGCCTCCACACGCTCGCCGCCGCCGTGAAGAAGAACTACGACAGATTGGCGCCGGACGTCATCCCGAACATGCAGAAGATGGGCGAGGAGATCGCGGACCCCGTGGACCTGCCGGAGCTCGAGTTCTTCAACGGCAACTTCCTGACCAAGGACTACGCGGACGCCGACGTCGTCTTCTGCCACTGCACGGCCTTCGACGACGACGGCGTGTCGGACCTGATGATGTGCCTGTCGACGATGAGCGCGGGCGCGTTCGTCGTCACGACGACGCACATGCTCCCGGAGAACTCGGCCTTCGACACCGTCGACAACTCCGTCCAGTGGATGGACGGCATCGAGGCCCTCGTCTTCATCGCCCAGAAGCGGGCAGGCTAAGTTAGACGCGGCAGACGCGGCTCGGCCGGGACCGGTCCCGCGCCGGCGGCCGCGGCGGCCGGTTCGGCGACGCGGCGAGGCCGAAGGTCGGCGTCCGCGTCGTCTGCTTGCAGAGCGGGCAGGTGAGCCGCGGGTTCACGACGAGGCCCGCCTCCTTGTCCGCGACCCGCGCGCAGGAGCCGAACCACGCCTCCAGGCATGCCGGGTCGAACGCGTGTCCGCAGTGGAGCACGACGGCCGTGTCGTCGTCGAGGGCGCCGAGGCAGACGGAGCACTCCGTCTGCTCGCGCGCGAAGGACGGCAGGTCGCCGTCCCTGACGTCCCTGCGCCGCACGGACTGCGACCGGATCGCGGCCGCGGCGACGCGCGCGGCCGCCGCCGCGACGGACTCGGCGACGGCGTCCTCCGCCGCCGCGGCCGGCGACGGCGCGATGTCCGCCCGGGACCGCGGGTGCCGCATTTCCCGCACGGCGCGCTTCGCCCAGTGCTTGCCGCAGCCCGTCCACGTGTAGTAGATGACCGGGCAGACCATCATGAGGAACAGGATCGTCGTGCCGACGCTGTAGAAGATCTGGTAGTCGGAGACGCGCTCCTCGCCCTGCTCGCTGCGGTGCCGCGACCAGTCGTCGACGTAGGTCGCGGCGCCGGAGGCGTCGTCGTCGGTGGCGTTGGTCGCATTCGTCAGGAGCGCCTCGAGCATGGTGGTGCAGCCTTTGAGCAGTTCTTTGGGCAGCGTTCCGTGGGCAGCCTCGAGCAGTCGATGTTTGGGCAGCCTCGAGCACTCGACTTGGACGCGCGCCGGGCAGCAACACCGAGCAGCCGACGCGGCAGTGATGTTTGACGCGGCAGCCCCGCGCTCCCGGGCGTCGTCGGCGCCCGGAGAAGCCCGACGAATCGAGAGCGCCGAGTGCAACACCACGGCAGCGTGCGCGGGGGAGCGGCGATGTTGAACTCGCCAAGAGAGCTGCCACAGATTTGGACGAGCTGTGCCCGCGCGCGCCAGCCTTCCGGCCGTCAACGATGGACTCGAAGCAGCAGCTCCTCGCCGCCGGGGCCGCCCTGGGCCTCGCGGCCTACGCCCTCCGCCGGCGCCCGTCGACGTGCGACGCGGAGTCGCCGCCGCAGCTCAAGTACGGCACGGCGGGGTTCCGCTGCGACGCGTCGCTGCTCGACGTCGCCATGGAGCGCGTGGGCATGCTCGCGGCCTACCGGTCGCGGGACCGCGGGGGCGCCGCCGTGGGCGTCATGGTCACCGCGAGCCACAACCCCGTCAAGGACAACGGCGTCAAGATCGTCGACCCGTCCGGCGCGATGCTCGCCATGGACTGGGAGGCCAAGGCCGAGGCCGTCGCGCGCGCGCCCGCGAGCCGGCTCCGCGGCGTCTTGGCGGACATCGGCAGCGGCGCCGGCGAGGCGACGGTCGTCGTCGGCTGCGACACGCGGCCCCATTCGAAGCGGCTCGAGGCGCTCGTCAAGCGCGGCGCGGCCGCCGTCGGCGCGGCCGTCGTCGGCGTCGGCGTCGTCACGACGCCCCAGCTCCACCACTGCGTGCGCGCGCGCAACGGCTTCGAGCGCGGCGCGGCGTCGTATGAGTGTTCGGGATGACGCTTCACCGCTTGTTTCGTAGGCCCGACGCGCGGACGGACCGCGCGCTCTACGGCTACGCCGAGGGCCTCGTCGAGGCCTTCGCGGACCTCGCCTTCGCGTCCCCGGATCCCTCGGCGCCCCGCTGCCGGCCCGACGCGACCCTGGTCGTCGACTGCGCGGGCGGCGTCGGGTTCTACGCCGTCGCGGCCGCCGCGCGCCTGCTCCGGTCCGGCGTCGGGCCGGGCGCGCTCCACCTCGTCGCGCGCAACGCGCCGGGCGAGGCGCCCCTCAACGACCGGTGCGGCGCGGAGCACGTGCAGAAGCAGCGGCTGCCGCCCGCGAACTGCGGCTACGCGTCGTTCGGCGCGCCGTCCGTGCGCTTCTGCTCCGTCGACGGCGACGCGGACCGCGTCGTCTACGGCTACTACGACGCGTCCCAGGCCTTCAAGATCCTCGACGGCGACAAGATCGCGGCGCTCCTGGCCAACTTCGTCCGCGCGGAGCTCGTCGCCGCGAAGCCGCTCCTCGTCGACGTGCCCAGGCTCGGCGTCGTCCAGACGGCCTACGCCAACGGCGCGGCCCACGACTACCTCGCGGGCCGGGGCGTCGCCGTGGCCTACGCGAAGACGGGCGTCAAGTACGTCCACCACGAGGCCGAGAAGTTCGACGTCGGCGTCTACTTCGAGGCGAACGGCCACGGCACCGTGCTCTTCGCGCCGGACCTCTTGGACCAGCTCCGGCGCCTGCGGGGCTCGAAGCACAACCGCGACCCGCCGCGCGCGACGCTCGCGATCCGGCGCCTGAGCGCCGTCGCGAACCTCGCGAACCAGGCCGTCGGCGACGCGCTCGCGGACGCGCTGCTCGTCGAGGCCATCCTCTGCGTGACGAAGACGTCCGTCGAGGGCTGGGACGCCATCTACGCGGACCTCCCGAGCCGCCAGCTCAAGCAGAAGGTGAAGAGCCGCGAGGCCCTCAAGCCGAACGCGAACGAGACGAGGCTCCTGAGCCCGACGAACCTCCAGGACGCCATCGACGCGCTCGCGGCGAAGGCGCCCAACGGCCGCGCCTTCGTGCGCCCGTCGGGCACCGAGGACGTCGTCCGCATCTACGCCGAGGCGCGGACGCGGGCCGACGCGGACGCGCTCGCGACGGCGTGCGCGCGCGCCGTCTACGACCTCGCTGGCGGCCTCGGCGACAAGCCGTGATGGTCGCCCGTCTAATCTCTCTACCAAACTAGGCCGCGTTACTCCTTGGGCTCGCGCTTCAGGCGCCCGGGCCCCTTGAACGTGTTGGACATGGACTCGGACCGGCTCCGCGTCGTCGCGAGGGCCTCCTGGGCCTCGAGCTGGCCCGTCAGCGAGTCGCAGATGGACGAGAGCTGCGCGAGGCCGTCGTCCATGACCGCGAGCGCCGGGCGGCCCGTCGTCTGCAGCCGCACGTTCATGAGCGGCTCGCTCGGGTGAGGCACCGAGTAGCCCGCGAAGTCCGTGTCCTTGCTGCGGTGGGGGTTCGCGGAGGTGTGCGGAGGTTTCGCTCGTTTCGGGGACGCGGCGGGACGCGCTGCCGCATGAGCACGTGGCGCAGGGCGTTGCCGAGCGTGTGGTCCTCGTCGCGGAAGACGAACGTGCGCGCGCTCGCGTCCTCCGCGTCGCCGAGGATGCGCAGCGACTCCTCCTGGGGGCCCTTGGCGTTCTCCGTCATGATTTGTGATCGATGGCTTGGGCTTGGCGGCAGTGGGCTCCGCGACGGCGGCGGCGGAGGGGAAGCGCTTGGCCTTGTCGCCGCAGTGCCGCCGTCGACGTCGACGATGCCGCAACCGTGCAGCCCATCGGCGTGCTGGGTCATCATGGCTGCGGCCCTAGATATGAAGGCGGTCTGCGCGTCGCTCGTGAGCATCCTGCATCGCGGCGACCCCTTCAGCAAGTTGGAGGCCGCGCGCGCGCTGTGCAACATGACAGTGAAAGACGACCATCTTTCCGCGGTCGCCGCCGCTGGTGCAATCCCGCCGCTCGTCGTGCTCCTGCGGAGTGGTGACGATTCCGTTAAGTTGCTTGCCGCGAAGGTGCTGCAGAACCTCGCCCGCGGAGTTTGGGAAATCAGAAACTCCATCGGGGCGGCCGGCGCCGTGCCGGCGCTCATCGAGGTCGTGAATAGCGGCGACGATAGCTCCAAGAAGCACGCCGCCCACGCGCTGGCGAATCTCGCGTGGCACCACGATGGCAACACCCTTTCGGTCGCCAGTGCCATCGTGCCGCTTGTCCAGCTGCTGCGGGACGGCAGCGACGACGCCAAGGAGGCGGCCGCGCAGGCGCTGTCGAACCTCGCTTGGTTCTCCGAGAATCATGTCGCCATCGCGGTGGCGGGCGCCATCCCGCTGCTAGTCGCTGCCGAGACTGGCAGCCACGCCGGCGCGATCTTGAAAAAAAATGCTGCGTTTGCGCTCAATAATCTCACCTGCGGCAACATCGACAATACGATCGCGGTCATAGAGGCCCGCGGAGCCAAGGCGCTCGTCCGAATCACGCGACCCGGCGTCACCTTTTTCGCGACTTACAATCCCGGCGGCCCGTCGCAGATGAAATTATTTGCTCGGAACAAGGAGCTGACCGCGCGGGAGCTCGCGAAGCGCCGCGTCGTCATGATTCGCAAGATCCTCGAGGACGCGCTCCCGCCGGAGATCGCGGCGTCCGTCGTCGCACCCTTCCTCGGCCGCTGGGGCGCGTCCTAGGGACTAACAGTGCGGCCAGAGCAGCGGGAAAGACAGTTTTTAGGCGGTGGGAGGGGGAACATCAAACAGACGCGGCGCGGCGGGACACGGGCCGGGCCGGGCGCTCTCGCGCGGCCACGGAGTCGAAAGCCGCTCACTCCGTGTCCATGACCCAGTCGCCGGCCGGGAGGCGGTCGTCGTCGCCCTCGTATATCCTGTAGTCGTCGTCGTACTCCTCGAAGGACTTGGGGTCCGCGGAGTACTTGGAGCGCGCGACGCAGGAGAAGTAGACGATGCGCTTGAGGGTCTTGTTGAAGAAGAAGTAGTTGAAGGACCAGAGGGCGCCCTCGGAGAAGGGGTCGCTGTCGAGGTCCGGCACGTAGGAGAAGACCTCGCAGTCCTTGAGCGAGACGGCTTCCTCGACGGCCGCCCAGAGCTCCTGGAGCAGGTCGAAGCCCTGGTCGCTGATCTCGCTGAGGTAGCGCGTGCAGGACCGCGCCACGAAGTCGGCGCTCGCCTCGCGGCAGAACTGCTCGGGCCGCAGCGCGGAGAAGTCGTGGTCGGGGAACGACGCGTTCATCGTGCTGATCAAGTCGATGAGGAGCCGCCGCGTGCTGCTCGCGCTCAGCACGCCGAGGGGGCTCGTCGTGTCCAGGCTCCCGGGCGAGCTCGTCAGCTCGTCGGCGTACTGCTTCTCGAGCTGCTTGCTGAGCTTCTTGTCGTCGCCCGCGCGTTTGCAGCTGAACGCCTCGACGCGGCCGTCGATGACGCGGTCGCCCAGGGACCGCTCCGTGAGGAACGCCGTCAGCGCGCTCAGCCGGTTGTTCTCCAGGAGCTTCATCGCGCGGGCGTGCGCGGCGCGGCCCGGAACGACGGCTCGGAACAAGGACCCTCGAAATCTGTCAGTTGGTGTTCGGCGTTCGTCGGCGGGCGGCGCGGCGGGCGCTTTCGCGCGCGCGTTCGACCGCGGACGTGTGGCGCCGGCGTGCCCGCGATCCCTGCCCAGCTATGGGCGGCGCGGCGCGCGTCTCGCGCACGTTGCGCGCGACGAATCTGTTGGCGCAGGCCGGCGTTCGCACGCCGTCCGACGAGGTGCTCTGAGAATCGTGGCCGCGAACCTCGCGCGACGCCGTCCGCGCGCCGCGCTCGTCGCCCGCACGCGACGTCCAAAACACGAGCAGCGCCCGCGAAGAAAACACGAAAGTTCGACAACACACATCACACGTTAAAGGGGAGGGCGGGAGCCCCCGGGAGGTTCGCCCCGGGGCCCGCCCGCGGAGCGCCGGCTACTGCATGTTCACGCTCTCGCGCAGGAACCGGATGCCGCGGAGACCTGGGGAAACGAACACGTAAACGAGAGGAAACGAGAAGATCTGACGCCGCGAGCCGCGCCGCCGCCCGCGCCGATCTTCGTGTCCGGCCCGTTGACGACGAACGCGCCGCCGGAGCCGTGGCTCACCGTGTGCGCGACGGCGACGGGCTCCGCCTCCTCCCAGGGCTCGTCGGAGAGGGACCGCTCGAGGGGGCTCACGGGCTCCTTCTTCGGCGAGCTGAAGCGCACGCGGCGGCTCGCGTTCGTCGCCGCGCGGAGCTCGCCTTCGGGCACCTCGGCCTCGGTGTTGCCGTCGTCGGCGTACTCGAGCTCGTAGAGGCACTCGCCGTCCTCGACGTAGCAGTCCGTCACCGACGCGCGGAACCACTCGCGGTCGATCTCCCGCTCCACGGTGTCGCCCGTGTGGAAGGCGAGGAGCGACGACGCGCGCGGCAGGTCCGACGTGTCCCCGTCGGTCTCGTTGCGCCAGTGGTCGCCGGGCATCGTTTTGTTTTGCCTGGGAGCGCGGCCGCGGAGCCGCTGCCCGAGACGGTCACGCGGCGAGCGCCCGCCCCGGGAGGACAGCGCTGTTGTCCTCCGTCGAAGGCGGTTGTAAGTTGGGGCAGCCTCGTCGGCCTCGGGCGTCGTGGCCGGCCTGTTGCTGTGCAAAGAGCAGTCGGCGAGCTGTGGACGCCGTCGAGGACCGGCGCCGTCGTCGTGCAGCAACAGGAGCCGTAGCGGTACGACACGCCGCGTGAGCGATGCATCGGCCGTTCCTCACCACGGTGCGCCCGTTCCTCATGCTCCTCACGACGCAGCAGCTCCGGCGCACGGCGGCCCTGCAGCTGCGGCGGCCGGTCGTCGCGACGCGGCCGCCGCGCCGCGGCCTCGCGCTGCACGCCGCGCCGCGCGGCGACCCGCGCAAGGCGGACCAGTGCGAGGCGACGATCACGGGCTTCGGCCCGCTGGGCGCGAGCGTCGAGGTCGAGCTGCGCGACGGGTCCTTCGAGCGGGGCCTCATCCTGCAGAGCGAGCTCAAGTACCTGAGGGAGGCGCGGCGCGGCGAGGGCGCGGAGCTCGGCGAGACGCTCGCGGCCTGGGCCGTCGCGAGCCGCGACGACGGCAAGCTCGACGTCTACCTGCGCGCGCCGACGGCCAAGGGCAAGAGCGACGACGCGAAGGCGCTGATCCTCGAGGCGCTCGAGATCCACGGCGGCGTCCTGGACGTCGGCGACCGGTCGCCGTCGGAGGACATCGCCGCCGTGCTGCCGGGCCTGTCGAAGACCGTGTTCAAGAACGCCGTCGGCGCGCTCTTCCGCGAGGGCAAGGTCGCGCCGTCGCGCCGGGAGACGCGCCTCGCGGCCGCGGCGCCCGCGGCCGCGCCGGACGCGGCGGCGCCGGGCAAGAAGTTCCCCGTGCTCTTCGTCGGGAACATCCCCTTCGACAGCGACTGGACGGACCTCACGCGCGCGCTGGCGATCGTCGCCGACGCGCCCGTCCGCGGCGGCGGCCTCCGCAGGCGCAACGGCCGGCCCGCGGGCTGCGCGCACGTCGAGTTCGGCTCCGTCGCCGACGCGACGAAGGCGCTCGAGAAGCTCGGCGCCGCGACCTACCGCGGCCGCAAGATCCGCGTCGAGTGGGCGACGGATAAGTAGTAGTTTGCTCGAGTGGGCTTACATCTTGTCGGCCGTCGGCCGCCGGCCGTTCACTTGGTGGCGTACTGCTGGTCGAACTCGGCGTACGCGGCGGCGAACTCGCCGCACTCGGCGGCGAACTCGTCGAGCTTGTCGGCCTTCTGGCCGAGCATGGCGTTCTCCGCCTTGAGGTCCTTGAGGTCGAGCTCGAGCCGGGCCTTTTCGAGCCGGAGGTCGCGGATCTCGGTCTCGAGCCCCTCGAGCGTCGTCTTGAGGTTGAGGAGGAGAAAGAGCAGGGAGGGCGAGAGCGCGCTGAGCGTCGGGTGCTTGGCGTCCCAGGTGATGGAGGGCGAATCGTTCGCGGAGGCGACGCGCTGCGAATCGTCGACGGAATCGTCGCCCGGCGACTCGCGCACGGTCACGACGTTCGGGGCGTCGGACGACTTGGCGAGCGGCGTAGCGTGGGTATCAGACATGATCGAGCACGGCGGTGGGTGAGAATCTGCGGCGGGATGGTGAGACGCGTGATGGCAGCGCGCGCACGGCGGCGGAAGCGACCCGACTCGATCGCGCGCTCGCGCGTCGCGAGGCACGATTTCGGCGCCTCTGACGATGCGAGCTGCTGTCACGCGACGAGCGAGGATCTCGTGGAGTGCGACATCCACAGGGGAGGCCGCGAGAACGCTGTCGCGCCCCTCACGACGTGATCACGAGCGATTTGCGTTGCGACCGAATTTCGTTCGATTGCGTCGCCTCTCTTAGTTATACGGCCAGACGGCTGGTGCGGCGGCGCGGGCGATCCATAAACAACGTCGATGGCATCGAACGAGCGTCCACGCGCGCGCATACGTCGGCAGACTTACGTTTGAAGCGACTTGAGTGGAACGAACTTTTTTGTGGCAAAAAATTAAGCGATCGCGAACTTAGACGGCGAGGACGATCTCGAGGACGCAGCGGAGCGCGGCGACGTAGGACACGTTCGCCGCGGTGAGGAGGCCCGACACCAGCGCGGAGACGACGCCGACGCAGCACGCGTCCTGGCCCGTGAGCAGGAGGCCGGGGACCGTCGACGTCGGGTGCTGCGCGAGGAGCGCGTCGAGGCCGCCGTAGCGGTCCGCCGTGTTCTCGAGCGCGTAGACCTCGCCGCGGACGGAACCCAGGTAAAAGTCGTTCGACAGCGGCGTGCCGACGTCCGTGTAGGCCACGTGGCCGCGCGTCGCGGGCCAGTGCGCGTAGAGCGCCTCGAGCAGGAGGTCGCGCCACTTGGCCTTGAACGCGTCGTAGGCGGCGCCGCGGTGCTTGATCGTCGAGTCGGCGTAGGCGTCGAACCACTCGGGGCGCACGATGGTCAGCACGACCATGGACGCCTTGCCCGGGTGGCGCCGCTGGTAGTCGGCGTCCTTGGCCGACGCCGAGCCCACGAAGACGCCCGGCAGGTCGGTGAGTTCCGGGACGTCGCCCTCCGCGAGGTCGAGGTTCCGCAAATGGGCGTGCGCGGCGTCGTGGCGCCAGTCCTTCACCGCCCAGACGTTCTGGGACCGGATGCCCAGCGCCTCGTCGCTCGCGTCGAGGCCGACGAAGAGGTAGACCATGGCGATGGAGCCCCCGACGCGGTCCTTGGCCGCGTCGCCCTGGAGGAGCGCGCGCTGGGGCTCCGCGACGGACCGCGGGAGGAGCGCGCCGCGCCGCGTCGTCCGCGCGTCGTCGAGGTCCTCGCAGCCGAAGGTGTTGCGGAACCCCGCGCACGAGATGACGTACGCGGCGCGGATCGTCGCGCCGCGGCACCGCACGCCGACGGCGCGGCCGCCCTCGACGAGGATCGAGTCGACGGGCGCGCGGCAGAACGCGGCGCCGCCGCGGCGCGCGATCGCCGCCACCAACGTCTTGGCGATGGACGAGCAGCCGCCCGTCGGGAAGAACGACCCGCCGTGGTAGTGCGTGGCGACGAGCGCGTGGACGAACCACGGCGCGCGCGCCGGGTTGACGCCGTAGTCGCCGTAGAGGTACGTGACGCACCCGCCGAGGTCCGCGAGGTCGCCCGCCATGCCGCAGGCCGCCGCCGTGTCGGCCACCGACCGCACGCCGAAGCGCCGCCAGACGGGGCCGAGCAGCGGCCAGGAGAGCCTCAGGCACGCGCGCGGCAGGACCTTGAAGGAGAAGAACGCGTAGGCGACGAGCACGCCGACGGTCTCGAGAAAGCGGTACCTGGCGAGCGCCGCCGCCGCCGCGGCGCCGGGGAACACCGTCCGCACCGTCGCGTCGTTCCGCCGCACGTCCTCGGTCCACTCGACGGCGAGCCCGGTCGTCGTGTTCCGCGCGACGTCGTAGGTGGCGTCGCAGTGCGTCCACTCGAGCTTCCCGTCGGTCACGGCCGCCCAGACGCGCCGCACGGGCGAGAAGAAGGACTCGAGGTCGCCGCCGACGTAGTGGAGCCCGACGTCGAACTCGTAGCCCTTATCCTCGAAGGTGTGCGTCGAACCGCCGATTACGTCGTGCTGCTCGAGGACCACGACCTTGTAGCCGCCCTTGGCGAGGATCGACGCGCAGGCGAGGCCGCCGACGCCCGAGCCGATCACGACGACGTCGACGTCCTTGTAGGCCTCGAGCTTCTTCGCGCTGCCGCCGACCTTGAGCGTCGCGCTGTCGAGGTCCTTCCACGACGGCAGCTTTGCCCAGCGCGCGTGCAGCCGCCGGCGCAGCACGACGAGGAGCGTGAGCAGCGCGATGGAGAGCTCGAGCAGCATTTTTTCGTAGCGGCGTGCCCTTTCACAGCTCGCAGAGCATGCGCCGCGCCCTTTGAGATGGTTCTCCTTCACAGCTCGCAAGAGCGCCCGTCTTCACAGCTCGCAGAGCACGCGCATCAGGCACTGCTGCCGAGAGCCAGACGTTGCACTGCTCGAACCGATGTTGAAGACTACCGTATCCCCCAGCACGCGCACCCGCGCACACGCTCCCAAGTCTTCCGTTCTTACTGCCGCCAGGTCTCGTGGAGCTCCTCGGACTTCTTGTCTTCCTCCCACCAGGTGATGGACTTGTAGCCCGAGCGGGCGAAGCGCGCGGCCTTGTTGTTCTCGCCGATTTTGAGCGCGTCCGTGAGGATGTCCTTGAACTCGCCGAGCGCCGGGCGCCGCGCCGAGACGTCGACGGCGCGGTAGGTCTTGCCCGTGTCGAGGAGGCACTGGTACTTGCCCGGGTAGCAGCGGAAGATCGCGCCCTGGTAGTTGACGACGAACGGCGGCTGCGGCAGGCTCAGCGAGTACTGGCGCGTGCGGAGGTAGTAGACGGGCTTCACGCGGCTCAGGAAGCGCCACTGGAGATCTTTCGGCGGGAAGGCCGGCAGGCCCAGGTCGCCGCGCTGCGTGTCGAGCTTGAGGTTGAAGAGGATCACGGGCTTGCCGAACGATTCGAGCTCGCAGAGGTACTCGACGTCGGGCAGCTCCTGCGCGGAGAAGGTGAGGCAGACGTAGACGTCGGCGTCGTCGGGCAGCGCCTTGATGTTCTTCTTGCCCTTGCCGAAGAAGCCGAGGAAGGCCTGGTCGAGCGACTCGGCCTCGTTGAACGGCTTCCGGAGCGAGTGGAGCTTCACGCCCGGCGCGGGCTCGTCCGTGCCGCTGTCCTCGACGGCGCGCTCGAGCTCCGCCGTGTCCGGGTACATGATGGCGACGCGCTTCCCGCGCCGCTCCGCGAAGGCCGCGGCGAACTTGACCGCGAGCTTCGTGTTGGCGGCCGACACGTCCTGCGCGCTCGTGTTCGGGTCCTCCATGATGTCGGCCTGGGTAGCAAAGAAGTGAGTGTTCCGCGCGCGCATCCACGCGTCGAGCGCGCTCCGAAGAGACGATCGCTCGTCCAAAAATCAGCCGAAACGAGCGCGCGCATCCACGCGTCGAGCGCGCTCCGAGAGACGATCGCTCGTCCAAAAATCAGCCGAAACGAGCGGAACGCGGCCGAGGTCGGAGCACCCTTTCGCGGCCCTGGTGTCCGCGGGCAGCGGCGGGAACTCGACCTCCATGATCACATCGCCGTCGTCGACGGCCTGGATCGCCGCGCCCTGCGCCTGGGCGAGGCACTGGGCCATGGTCTGCGGCGGCGACTCCTCGTCGCTGGAGTCGACGACCGTGGCGCCGATGCCGTCCTCGCCGACGAGCGAGCCCTTCGTGCCCTCCATGTGCGCGATGGACGCCGTGCGCGCATAGGTGCGGCGCGGCGCCGGCGCGAGGGCCGCGCAGGTGGCCAGCAGCAAAGCGGCGGCGAGGCGGCGCGTCATATTGCTCGATCCGCAGAGGCGCGGCAACCTGTTGATACAGTAGATCGTGCCTTTACGGTCCCTCTTTGGCGGGCGTGTTTTGACCGAGCCAGCACGATGGAGCCCGGCTACACGGAGCTCCTGCCCGAGGGGGCGGGCGTCCCCGTGCGGGCCCAGCGCTTCGCGAAGAAGGCGGCGCTCGCCGTCGCCGGCGCGGGCCTGCTCCTGGGCCTCGGCGCGACGCTGCGCACGCGGGCGGCGCCCGTGGCGCCGGCGCTGCGCGCGACGGCGGCCAAGACCGGCGGCCTGACGACCATCGGCGCGGCGGACGTCGCCGTCTGCACGGACGAGACGGCGGACGAGACGAGCACGTGCTGGGAGGACTTCGGGGGCGTCTGCATGTACGAGAAGAAGAGCTGCAACAAATACGGCGGCACGAAGAACACGAGCGGCTGCGGCAGCGGCGACTCCTGCTTCTGCTGCCAGGACATCGATTCGAGCCTCATTGGGGACGACGATGCGGTCCTCGCGTGGATCGACAGCTACATCGGCGACGACGGCAAGCGCGCGAGCCGCAGCGGCAAGCGGAAGAAGGGTTCGGAGCGGCGTCCGCTCGAGCCGACGAATCCATGACGTACGCGTCCGCGCGCAGGAAAACAGGACGACGATTTGGGCGCCCAGTCCGACGACGATGTTGGTATCGTTGATGATATCGATGGTGGCGCTCGGCGTCCATCTCCACCCGCCGCGCGCCGCGAGCGCCGAGAGTCCGCCGCGGCTGCACCGCGAGCGCCGAGAGTCCGCCGCGGCTGCGGACTCGGGGGCCGCGGCTACGGACCGCGGGGCCTCGGCGCGACGGGTCGCGGGGGCGCGACGCGACGGACCGCGGGGGGCGCGACGCGACGGCGGCGGGGGGCTCGGCGCGAGACCGCGGGGGCGCGACGCGACGGGCCGGCCCGCGCGCGGCCTCGGCTCCCTCGCGGTTCACTGTCGCGCCTTAGGAAAACCTGCCGTCGACGACGACATCAGCCCCGACGTCTACTCCTACTCCTACGACTCCTACGATTCCAGCATCCACCACAAGAAGACCGACGCGGGCACGACCACGAACACGTCCAGCGCGAACTCCACGACGGCCGTGCTCAACGCGACGGCCGCGGTGTCGACGGCGAACGTGACGGCCGCGGTCACGGTCACGAGCGTCAACGCGACGGTCGCGACTACCGGCGGCGGCAAGTCGCACAAGAAGTCCTCGGACAGGCACTCCGGGTCGAAGGGGAAGCACTCGGACGACGACGACGACGACGTGAGCCTGCCCGCGTCCCACGAAAGCGGCGTACCTGACCGCGGCGCCGAAACGCAGGACGACTCGGACGACATCACTCCGCCCGGCAACCACGACGCGCTACGCGGCGTCTGTTTGAGGGCCCGCGGCACGTCTAACGCGCGAAATCCCTTCGCAGGACAACGATGCACGCACGCGGAGTCGAAGATTGAGCGCGGCGAGAGCCGAGAGCTTCGCGCGCAAGTCGACGTCCGCGGTCGCCACCGGACCGTCGGCGCTGAACCGTCGCCGCGCCCCGTCGCCCGCGCGCGCCCCGTCGCCTGCGCGCCCCGTCGCCGCGCCCCGTCGCCCGCGCGCGCGCCGTCGCCTGCGCGCCCCGTCGCGCGCCCCGTCACCGCATCGCCGCGCGCCTGTCGCCGCGCAAGCCGTGTGTTCACTGCGTGGCCCCTCGTAGGACGACGTCCGCGCTCGGCGCCGAGGATGAGCTACTTCAAGCCGGAGAACCGAGAGAGCCTCACGTGGCCCAGGGCCGTCGCCGAGCGCGGCGGCCTCGCGGCGCGCGGCGGCCTCGCGCGCTGCCGCCGCGCGGCGGCCGCGCGCAAGAGGCGGCCGCGCGCCCGCCGCCGCCATGGCCCGCCGCCCCTTCGAGAGTTCATTCACCGTCCGTTCCCTCGCAGGACGCGCCGAACGATAAAGACGAAGACGTGACGCTTGCCGTGTTCTATTTGTGCGGCGTGCCCCCGACTGTGTTTCTTTAGGACGACGAGGGCGCCATTTCCCCCGACGACGAGGGCTACGTCGACGACATCACGGGCAAGGGACCGACCAATGCGCGGCTCGGCGTCGAGCACTATTTGAAGCTGCGAGAGCCGAGAGCTTCGCGCCGCCTGGGCGGCCGTCGCGTGCACCCCCACGAACAGCTCGTTCACTCTCCAATTCTGGATTCCCGTAGGACGACGGCGGCGACCCCGCGGGCCACCACTCGAAGAAGCGCTCCAAGCGCACGGCGTCGAAGGTCAGCAGCTGCGCCACGCCCGTTTTCGCATGCGTTCCCTCAACTCCGCCACCGCTTTTGCTTAGGACGACGACGACCTCGGGGCCATGTCCGACGACGCGCGTGGCCGCGTGCAAATCAAATATTCAACCCGACTTCAATGTTCGCGTATGCGACCGTTTCGACGCGGGTCCTTCGAGAGCTCGAGGAGAGCAATCGATTCGTCCAAAAATCACCCGAATCGACTACGATTTGACCGAGCTAGAGAATTTCAAAGTTTGGCTCCGACGGCCCAGCTCACTGAAGCGACTCGCTCCACACAGGACGTCGGCGTGGTCGACGACGTCGACGGAAAAGCCGCAGTTGACGACGACCTCGCCGCCTCCGAGTCGACCAAGGGCGGCCACAAGAGCCGGTCCTCGGGCCGGTCCTCGGGCCGGTCCTCGGGCGACTCCTCCATCGGAAAAGGGAAGTCCGACGACGTGAGCCTGCCCGCGTACCACTCACTTTTGGTCCTGACCGCGCCGCCGCAGGACGACGACTCGGACGATTCCGACGACATCACGCCGCCCGGCAACCACGACGCGCTGCGCTGCGTCTGTTTTGAGGGCCCGCGGCACGTCTTACGCGCGCCCCTCCGCAGGACAACGATGCACGCACGCGGGGTCGAAGATTTAGCGCTGCGAGATCCGAGAGCTTCGCGCGTGAGTCGACGTTCGCGGTCGCCACCGGACCGTCGGCGCTGAACCGTCGCCGCGCCCCGTCGCCCGCGCGCACGCCGTCGCCCGCGCGCCCCGTCGCGCGCCCCGACGCCGCGTGCGCCCCGTCGCCCGCGCGCCCCGTCGCCCGCGCGCCCCGTCGCCGCGCGCCCCGTCGCCGCGCGCCCCGTCGCCCGTGCGCCTCGTCGCCCGCGCGCCTCGTCGCCCGCGCGCCCGCGCGCCTCGTCGCCGCGCGCGCCGTGTGTTCACCGTGTGGCCCCTCGCGTAGGACGACGTCCGAGCTCAGCGCCGCGGATGAGCTACTTCAAGCTACGAGAGCCGAGAGCCGAGAGCCTCCCGTGGCCCGGGGCCGTCGCCCAGCGCGGCGCCGTCGCCCAGCGCGGCGCCGCGCGCCGTGGACGTCGCGCGCGCTGTCGCGGCGGCGCGGCGGCCGTGGCCGTCGCGGTGGCGGCGGCGCGGCGGCCGTGGCCCTCGCGGTGGCCCTCGCGGTGGCCCTCGCGCGGCCCCACGAACAGCTCGTTGACTCTCTGCTCCCCGCCGCAGGACGCACCCAATGATAAAGACGAGGACGTGATGCTTGCCGTGTTCTATTTGTGCGGCGTACCCCCGACTGTGTTTCTTTAGGACGACGAGGGCGCCATTTCCCCGGACGACGAGGGCTACGTCGACGACATCACGGGCAAGGGACCGACCAATGCGCGGCTCGGCGTCGAGCGTACTACCATTTGAAGCTGCGAGAGCTGAGAGCTCCGCTCCGCGCCCATCGGCCCCCCCACCGACGCGCGCGCCCGACAGGACGACGGCGGCGACCCGGCCCACACGAAGGGCTCCACGTCCAAGGGCAAGAAGAGCTCCGACAAGAAGGCGTCGGGCAAGTCCAGCAGCAGCAGCAGCAAGAAGTCGCGCTCGGCCGCGGACGACGACTCCGACGACGCGACGACCAGCGCGGGCCCGGCGCCCAAGTCGCCGCCGAGCTCCGGCAGCGACAACGGCGACACGCACAAGTCAGGCCACTAGACCCCTCCCCGCCTTGTTCCCCCGCGCCCCGGCGCGGTGCCCGCCCCTGCCTTAAATAACCGATCACTCCAGTCGCAAGGAGGACGTGTACATGTGCCACCAAGGCCGGCATGCCCGGGGGTACTTGGCTCGCTCCGGACGACGGCTCTATTTGAACTTTTGGCGCGCGAGGCGCCGGAGGCGCCCTGTCCAGAGGGGCTCCAGTGACTTACAGACGCCGCGACGCGGCGAGCTCAAACTAGGGGGGCGCACGCCGCGGGACCCCGCGAGCAAGAGGCAGCCCGCTGAGGTCGTCCGGTCCTTCCGAATGGATGATATCTTGCTGCGGAATTTGACTCAAACCGAGAGCTCCGAGACGCGGGTACTCAGTGGGGTAGTTGACGACCGGGCGGGGCCGCGCCTCAGCACGGGACGGGCGCCAACCCACAGGACGCCAATTGTCCTCGGAGTCCGAGGCGGACGCGGAATCCTCGATCTGCGCCCGCGGTTCCGGAGCCGGCACGCCAAGAATCAGAGCGACCACGTCGCACCCCGCGTCGGCACCATCTTTCGCGAGCGCGTCCACTTGCAGCTTGAGTTCCACGGCCCGGAGCAAGCGCTTGATCTCGGGCGAAGACGAGAGCGCGTCGGCGCGATCGAGGTGATCCTTCATCTCAGAAAGAGCGCCGGTCAGATCTCCAGTAGCGATGGCCTTCGCGGTTCCCAGGTGCCACTCCGCCGCGGCTGAGTCGCCGACCGTACCAGCATCAATCGCCATGCGGATGATCGACCGCGTCTGCGGGACATCGACGAGGCGCGTTCCGATGGGCGCGCGCGTCAGCGGCGAAATGGCTCATCGACATGGTCAAAGTCCGACGCCGGCACGGGCAAACCGGGAAGATATCGGCAGACTTTGGCACGCGCGCGCGCCGTGCGTCGTGTGACTGGATACCGACCAAATTTTCTCGCCACTGCGGCCCTGGCGAGCCTCGGGCGGCTTGCGCCGGGTCACAAAGCCTCGAGCGGGACGCGCGCGATATACTAGCTCGGCCGCGACATTGCGTTCGTGCACAGCGATGCCTGAGGGCGAGATCTCGCAACGCACGGCGACCGCCGCGCCGTCGGAGACGGCCACGCCGCGCGAGGACTACCCCGGCTTCGGCGACCTCGACCTGTCCGCGGCGAACCGGGCGCCGGCCGCGGCGCCGTCGGGGATGGACGACAGGGTGACTTCGCTTCGGATGCTCGAGGCCGCCCTCGCGGCGGCCCAGGGCGAGCGCGACGGGCTCCTCGAGGACGTCGCGGCGGCCCAGGGCGAGCGCGACGCCGCGCTCGCGGACCGCGACGCCGCGATCCAGGCCCGCGACGCCGCGCTCGCGGACCGCGACGGCGAGATCCAGGCCCGCGACGCCGCGCTCGCGGAGATCCAGGACCTCCGGGGCCACCTCGACGACGCGAACGAGGACCGCGACTTCTTCGAGCGCAAGTACGACAAGTACAAGGCGGAGGTCTTCCGCACGCAGTCGTGAGCGAACGACGAGCCCATCGCGCGGTCGAGTCTTGGAGATTCGCCCGCGTCGCCCCCATCATGAGCCCATCCCTTCGGAAGTCTTCGCACGCGCGTGTCGCGCGTCGCCGCTCGCCCGCGGCGGCGCGCGCGTCGCGAGCGTCGAGGCAACCGGAAATTCCGTGCCGCCGAGCTGCAGGCGCCGCTCCTCGCGAGCGACGCCGAAACTTTTTCCCCCGACCGTCCCCAGACGCTGCTTTCCCGCCTTTTTTGCATCCGCGGCTTCTCGCTGCCTCTTTTACCCAACCTCTCCGATCCTACCTCTCCTAAACCTGTTCCTGCCGCCCTAGTGCGCCGAGCCCGGCGTTGCTAACTACCGAAACACCACGCTACTCTGACACTGGCAAGAAAATACCGTGCCCCTCCCTCCTGCGAAGAGACCCTCAGAGGTCCTCAGGCTGTGGGGGCTGGTGAGGCGGGCCCGCTTCTGCCACTTGGCGTGCTGGCGAGCCGGGTCGCAACGAGTCGACCGCGGCGCCCATACCGCGGCGCGGCGCCAAAACTTTTTGCCGCGCCTGCCCGTGTGCACTGTGCTCCGCGATAAACTAGGTCGGCGACGACACTGCGTCTGTGCACAGCGAGGCGGGCGACAACATACGAGTCACGACGCATGGCGACCTCCACGCCGCCCGAGACGCTTCAGATGGGCGGCGACGCCTCTTCGCCTCAACGGAGTGCCCCGTCGACGCCGGACGCGGCGCTGGCCGTACTACGTCGGCCGGAGCTCTTCATTCCATTCCTGAGCACGAGCTCGCTCGGCGCCTTGAGCGCGTGTGCCGCGCAAGTCCGCGGCGCGTTGCGAGACGGCGGCGCGTGGCGGATGCTCGCGAAGTCGCGAGGCCTAGCTCTTGGGAGCCCTGCGCGCGCGCTGGAGCTCGATGCGATCGCGCAGATAAAGGCTCAGCAGAGCGGCAAACACTGGCTCGCGACTCACTTTACGAGTAATCCTCGTCTCGTGCCCGCGTCGACTTTGAGCGGGCAAATTGAAACTTTCGCTCAGCTGGACTCTGGGTTTACGTTTTTTATCCGCGTTGTGTACAACGGGCTCGTGCTTTGGGAGGGCGACGTCAATCGAACTATTTCCGCAAATATCAATCTTGATCTCTCTCGCTTCTGGTCCGACGTGTCGAAATCGTGGTACGCGATGCGGGATTTTCTCTCAGTCCTGGGTGCGCCACCGACGGATCCGGATCCGGAGCATCGAGAGCATTACACCGTGCTCCGTCAGCTCGAATTTATCATTGTGACTGTGCGAGAGCTTGACCAAGCTAAATTTTGCTTGGGCCGTTTCGCGTTTAATGAGGACATTGGATCTGAAGGGGAGCCGGAGGGTTACTACTTGTTTCACCCAGCTGGTAGACACACACACCTGCAATCGTGCTGCGAGGAGAAATATTATACGCAGTTTAATTTACTTCTCGTGACGATGCATGATCCGGATGCAGGCCGCGTTGTTAGGCTGAAAATCTGTATTGATATACATTCCAGACATAACACTGACGTCGTTCCCGCTTTTGACATTATTCATGTGACGAATGTCTTCAACGAGCTTGCGGATAGAATCCACTACGCGCTGGGCCTCGATTATCAAGAGTACGCGCGCACTGGCACTGTGGTGTCGCATCCGCTCCCGGCCGGCCTCGTTCGCGTGTGGACAGAGCAAGCCTGGTTCTAAATAAAAATAGCTAGCCTCCGCTATCTCATTCTATGCCCGCAAAACCCACACCCCACTTTAGAAACACTGCTCGGCCGCGACCATCCTTAGTTCTTCCCGGCGGGCCTCACGCGTCCGTGTTCAGGCTCAGACTCACGCCCTGCAGCACCCAGTGGGACGTGTGCTGCTCCGAGTCGAGGTTCGCCTCGAAGACGAGTCCGACGCCCATGGCGTTGCGCCGGTCCTGGGTCACATAAACCGGCGTGATGAAGACGCCGTGGGTCTTGACCTTGGACGCCTCGATGGGGATGACCTGGAGGATGGGCAGCTCGACGACCAGGACCTTGGGGTCCTGGCGCTTGAGGCAGGAGTGCTCGTGGTCCCAGGCCGCGCCCTCCAAATAGAGCCCGCGCACGTAGGTGCCGCTGTCGAGCGCGCCGGGGACTTCTTTCACGTCGACGAAAGACGTCACCTTCGTCGACATCGTCGACTTGTCCAGGGGCCAGTTGAGCATGCGGCACGTCGTCTGCACGAGGGCCGTGAGGTAGGACTCGGGGATGCCCAGCCCGCTGAGCCAGATGACGGCGGGCTCGCCGACCTTGATCCACTTGTCGTACTGCGCGTAGCGCTCGATGAAGTGGACCATCCAGGAGCCCAGGGGCTTCTGCGTGTTGGGCATGAGCTTCTTCCAGCCGTCGGGGATGAAGCCGTTGAAGAGCGAGACGCCCAGACTATCGAGCTCGTCGGACATGCCGATCTCGCCCTTGAACGCGCGCTGCAGATCGCTGAGCGTCACGGCCATCTTGATGACGAGCAGATTCCAGCGCTCGAGCTCCTGCAACAGCACGACCTGGCAGGGCGTCGGCGTCTGCGTGCCGTTGCGCTCGTAGAGCGTCGACCGCACGATCATCGTGTCGTAGGAGCCGATGTCGAGGCTCTCGAGCGGCACCTTGGACTGGATGTCCTTGGCCGCGTTGGAGATGATCTCGTCTCTACTCAAACCGCCACCCGCCGACGCGCTGCGGGGCTGGAGGCTGATGAGGTCGCGCCACATGCTCTTCGTCGCGTTGCTGTAGAAGCCGATCTCCGCGTTCGGATGTAACCCGAAGACGGCCGGGCTGTTCGTCAGCGGCAGCCGCTCGATGTGCTCCGTGTAGTTCTCCAGCGGCCCCGTCTCCGGCAAATCAAAATCATAGCCGGCCTGGCTGAAGAAGAACTTCTGGCACTCGTCGAACAGAAAGTCGCCCATGTACTCCGTGAGGTACGTGGAGAGCACGCGCCGGTCCATGTTGTCCGACACGCGGCCGCCGTACATCGCGTCGCCGATCAAGTACTTGAGCGAGCCCCAGGGCAGGAACTCGTCCTCGTCCTCGAAGGCCTTCTTCAGGTACAGCGACAGGAGCTTCCGCGAGATCTGGAAGTCGGACTCGTTGAAGTCGTAGTTGACGTTCCAGCCGATCTTGCCGTACTTGCGCCGCTCCTGGACGACGGCGTGGAGCCAGGCTAAAACGAAGAGGCAGGGCCGGAAGGCCGGGTGGGGGCACTCGTCGAGCACGGTCTGGTCGATCTTGCTGAACGTCGCGCGCATGTTGAGCTTGAGGCCGTCCGGCGGCTCCGTGACGACCTTGAGCGACCGCTGCAGGATGCCGAGGGGGAACTTGTTCGACGGCTCCGTCGTGAGCCAGAGTCGAAAGTCCTTGTGCGGCGCCTTCATGAGCTCGAGGCGCTTCTCCAGCTTCTTCAGCCAGGACACGAGCAGGTGGCAGTTCTGCAACAGCACCCAGTGGCCCTTCGCCGTGCCCTGGTCGATGAGCTCCTCGGCCTTGGGCCCCTGGCCCTGGCCCAACGCGATGAAGCGGAACTTGGACGTGAAGCCCTTCTCGTCGCAGAGGAGCTGGATGTCGGACTGCGGGTCCGCGCCCGGCGAGAGGATGAAGACCATGGGGCTCCGCTCGTTCGACTGCGCGAAGATGCGGCCGTAGTCGAGCACGGGCGGCTGGACGTACTTCTCGCCGATGGACGCGATGACGTAGAGCTTGACGGCGTTGTAGACGCGGTCCGCGCGGAAGACGCGCATGACGCAGAGCTTCTGCAGCGGCGTCAGGCCGTCGGAGTGGCCGTCGGGGAAGTCGACGGACTCGGGCGCCTCCAGATCGTACCAGGCCTTCCACGTGTCCGTGTGGGCCTCGAAGTCGCGCCGCAACGCGTCGAAGTGGTCGCCCATGGCGCAGAGGGCCAGCAGATCCTTCCAGGACGCCGCGCCGAGCCACGGCACGGGCGACGGCCGCTTCGGCGCGTCCAACCCCGTGTCGCCCTTGAGGAACGCGTCGAGCTCGGGCCGCACCAGGTTCCCGTCGCCGTCCTGGACCTGGCAGGTCATCTGGAAGGCGAACATGAGCTTGTGGCGCTCGAAGATGCCCGTGCACGTGTAGTCGTAGATCTCGCGCATGACCGACTCCATCATGTTCTTCAGCCGCGAGTCCAGCACGACGTCGCGCTTCGCGTTGTCCAGCGCGCCGTTGAAGACGCCCAGGAAGGAGTCGAGCGACGTCTCGTACATGGCGTTGATCGTCGACAGCGACGCCATGACGAAGTAGAGGATGGACCCGCGCTTCGCGACGGGCGTGTAGCCGCTCCGCGCCTTGGAGATCTCGTCCTTCGTGAACTTGGACTGTTCCAGCTTGCCCTTGATCTCCTCGGCTTTCGTTTTTGTCTCGTCGAGCGTGGCGATGAGGTCCTCGTTGTCTAGGATGTTGCCCGACGACGACGAGAGCTCGCGGAGGAGCGTGTCCTCCAATTGGACGATCATCAAAGCGCTCTCGGACATCTGGGACACGAGCTCCGCGTACTGCGACTCGAGGTCCGGCCGCTCGTGGGCGACGACGACGTTGAGGAGCTGGTTCGCGAGGCCGTCGCCCGTGACGGAGTAGTTGATGATCATCGTCTTCGACATGACCTCGGGGCTGTAGTGCGGGTTGCCGAGCTTGGTCGTGAAGAAGAGGCGGAAGCCCTCGTCCCACTGGACTTTCTTGTCGCCGAGCTGGATGAGCTTCTGGCCGCTCTCGACGAAGGTGTTCTTCTCCAGGATGGGGTCGAGCATGGGGTCGAGCTCCTCGTCGACGTTCTCGAAGAGGAACGGCGTGCCGAACTGGATTGCGAGCTCGAGGTGCTTCATGAAGTCGGCCTCGCTCAGCGTCTTCACCTTGAGCTGCGACTTGGAGTACATGGCCTTGATCCAGCCCACGGCCTGCTGCTGCGGGTCGATGCAGAGCGGGAACCGCGACGCGGCCGTCGTCAGGATGCCGTTCTGGATGCTGTGCTCGTCCGCGGGCAGGCCCTTGGCCGTCCAGCCCTGGATGATGGCGTCGCTGCTGAGGAAGGATTCCAATTGGAAGGTCTCGGTCACGGGGACCTTCAGGTCGGCGATGCGCTTGACGAACGTCTCGTAGATCATGACCGTGCGGAAGTCGTGCGTGAACCTGCGCGGGAAACAGGGTGATGCGACGTCGCTTCGACGCGGCGCGCGCGTTCCGGAAAAAAGCAGCCACGTTTCGAGATGATCGCTCGTCCAAAGGTCGGCCGAAACGAGTCGAGAGCGGCGCCTTTGAAGTTGGGACCCCTTTTCGCGCGCTGGTGCGAACGCGCCCGAGTAGCTGAGGAACGACGCCGCGAGGAGGCAGTCGCCGACGAGCTGGACCTTGTTCTTGTTCAGGGACTCGATGTCCGCCGTCCAGCGCGTGCGCTCGCCCGTGAGGCCGCTGATGAGCTTCGACGCGGCCGTCAGCCGCTTCTCCATGAGCGCCGCCTGCGGAGCCGCGCGTCAAGCGCAGCGCGAGGCGCCCCCCCGCCCCCCCGAAAAAAGGGAACCGCGCCGCGGCACGCGCCTGGGTCTGGAGGCCCGTGAGCTCCTCGTTCTTCTCCGTGTACTGGGCGTTGAACTCGTTGAGCTCCTTCTCGAGCGACGAGAGCATGACGTTGAGCTCCGCGAGCTCGCGCTCCGTCTTCGCCTGGCCCTTCTCCATCTCGCGCACCTTGGCCTTGAGGGGCTCGACGTTCTTGGCGACGTCGTAGTACTTGCTGATGGCGACGACCCAGACGAGGAGGCCCTTGCCGGCCTTGGAGATGGACTCCATCTTCTCGACGGTCATGTTCGGATCCTTGAAGTATTTCCGGACGCTCTTCATCATCTTCTCCGTGATGTTGTCCTGCGGGTCGCGGCGTGACGAACGGGGCGGGCGGGGCAGAGGGTCGCGCGCGACGCGGGCGGGGCGGGCGACGCGACGCCCCGCGACGAAAGGACGGGACGCGGGCCGCGCGCCTTCGGGTACTTCTTCAGCTTGTCGAGGAGCTGGGAATTGGACAGCATCTTCTTCGCGTCGGCCCAGGTCTCGTCGAGCTTCTCGCCCGTGGGGCGCAGGCACACGACCATGAGGCAGACGTCCTGCACGAGCTTCGGCGGCTTCGCAAAGTTCTTGATCTCCGTGATGTCCTGCGCGGGCGCGTCGCGTCGCGCGGGGGGGAGGAGGCGGGCGGCGGCGGTGGCCGGGGGGAGGGACGCACCTCTTTGTGGAGGTTCGCGAGGGCGGACTCGGCCTGCTCGAGGGCCGGGATGGCCTCGCTGAGCGCGTCGTCGGCCTTCTGCTTCTCCGTCGCGATGACGACGGCCTGCTCGGAGGCCTGCTCCTGCTTGATCGTCGCCTCGGCCTTTTGCTCGTTGGCGATCTTCGTCTTCTCCTGGATCTGGGTGATGAGGGCCTCGACGTCCGTGGTCTTGGCGTCGACGATGACCTTGGCGTCCGTGAGCTCGATGGACATGCGGTCGACGTCCTTGGCCGCGTCGACGAGCTTGCTCAGGCCGCCGCTGAGGCGCTTGACGCTCGAGTCGACCTTCTTCTCGTTGAGGGAGAGCTGGGACTGGTAGTTCTGGATGTAGTCCAGGTAGTTCTTGGGCGTCACGTAGTAGTAGCGCCGGAGCACCGTCGCGAAGCGCGTCGCCTGGGCAGGAAAAGGGTGATTCAAGTTCGCTTCAACATGAGTGTTCCGCGCGCGCGCGTTCCGGGAAAAGCATCCATGCTTCGAGACCGTTCCGAGAGATGATCGCTCGTCCCAAAATCAGCCGAAACGAGTGGAAAACGGCCGAGATCGGAGCCTTTGAAGTTGGGAATGTCGCTCTCTTGTCCTGCTCCGCGCGTCGCCTCGGAGACGACGTGCGTGTGGCTGTAGACGAGGTGCTGCACGATGGCCTCGCGGTTCTCCGCGGGCAGGGGCACCTCCGCCAAAAAGTAGTTGGCCACCTTGGAGAGCGCGTCCTCGGGCCAGGGGAAGAACCAGTCGATGACCGCGTTCGAGATGAGGCCCGGGAACGACCGGCACCGGAGCCGCAGCTTGTCGCCGCTCGGCGACATGGCCAACACGATGTGCAGGTTGTTCTGGCACTTGGACACGTAGTACTTCCAGAGGTTGTCCGGCGTGTCGATGATGCCGAGCTCCTTGACCTGCTTCCGCACGGAATTGCAGAGCTGGTCGCGCTCGTCCTGCTCGTAGAGCGCGGGCACCATGCCCGTCGTGAGCATGTTGTTCAGGAACTCGAGGAACCCCTCCTGGGCCACGTGGGCGTCCGTGAAGAGGAAGACGACCTCCTTCTCGCCGAGCTTCGTATATAAGGTCTTCAGGTCCGCGCGGAACTCGTCCTCGCCGTAGTTGCGCACGAGCGAGATGTTGAAGATGTCGTAGCCCGCGCAGTAGGCCGCGAGGCGCGTCAGCGACTGCTTGCCGCTGCCGCCGACGCCGATGAGTAAAGCGTTGCCCCGCGGCAGGCGGATGATGCGGTGCACGCGCGTCAAATGCTCCAAAGCCTGCTCGAAGAGCACGAGCGTCATCGGCGAGTTGTCCATGTTGTAGTTCTCCATGACGGCGTCGAAGATCTTGCGCGTGCCCTCGAGGCTGCCCATGTCGCAGTAGAGCCTCGGGTCCTCCGCCTCCTCCGTGAGGCGCCGCACCGCGTGCTTGTAGTCGCCGAAGACGAGCGGGTTCTCGAGCGCCTCGTCCTTGCACTCGGGAAAGGCCTCGCCGATGAGCTCGGAGACCTTGCCCTCGACTAATGTGAGATCCGCCTCGGAGACGAGGCGGTCGCAGAAGATGCGCTGGACCTCGTTGCGGAAGAGGCGGACGATGGACCACGACGTGTCGAAGGTATCCGGCGTCGCGAGGCAGATGCCTTCCGTGACGCGGCTCAGGTCCCGCAGGTTGAAGATGTAGTGGAACTTGGCCGGCGTCGGCGGCAGCGACTCGACGATGAAGGCGAAGAGCTTGAGCATGGCCTCGGGGAACTTCGCGCCGACGTCCTTGACGTTCGGCGCGAAGTCGCGGAGGTTCTGGGAGATGATCGCGCTGTACATGTGCGTCAGCACCTCCTGGGCCGGGTCCGGCAGGTTGAAGACGGAGAAGAGCGCGACGAAGCGCGTGTCGACCTTGTTGCGGCCGCCGCCCGGCGGCCCCATCGCGCCGATGTAGCACAGATCCTTCAAAATCTTCTGCGTGAGGTCCTTCTCGCGGTCGTAGATGAAGCCCCGGGAAATTAAGGTGAGGAGCAGCGTGATGGGCTGCTGCGTGCCGTAGGTGTCGACCTTGGGCATGTTCATGTCGTCGATGAAGATCGTGAGCTTCTTGCCGACGGGCGGCCCGTAGAAGTTGCCCGTGCGCTTGTCGACGTTGGCCTCGATGTTCGTCTGCACGTCCTTGGAGGACGTGCGGCTCGAGAAGCCGAGCGTGAGCCGCGTCGACACCTCGTCGTCGAGCGAGCCGAGGTAGTCGTTGATGATCGTCGTCTTCGCCGTGCCCGACGCGCCGACGAAGAGGATGGGCTTCCGCGGCGCCATCTCCTGGAGCAGGTGGCTGAACTTTGTGGAATCCGTCGTCGGCACGATGATCTCGTAGAACCGGAAGGGCGACGGCTCGACGTACTCCGCGACGCGCGCGGACCACTTCTCCCACCGCTTGCTCTCCGGGTCGAAGACGTTGTCCGCGATCAAGCCGTCGGGCAGGCCGCAGGTCGCGATCTTCTTCACGAAGGCGTTGAAGAGCTCCATGGACGACCCCAGCAAAGCCGCGCCGATGGACCAGTTGACGCAGAACGCGTAGACGTTCTCGATGTCGTCGCGCTCGGGCAGCGTCTCCGGGGGCATGTGCTCGTAGAGCGGGCCGAGGAAGGCGTCGAGCGCCGTCGTGAGCTGCTTGATCATGTCGATGGACGTGATGGGGATGACGGACCGCAGCTTCGCGCCGAGCTCGCCGTCGACCAAACCGAACTGCACGTAGTCGATGCACTTGGTGACGTACTGGTCGAAGAGCGCCTCGAGGTGGCCCGCCTCCTCCTCCTTGTCCGGCGCGATGTCGCGGCCGTTGCCGCAGCGCTTGCGCACCCAGCGCTCGTAGAAGGGCCGGTAGCCCAGGTTCTTCGGGTCGACCCAGACCATGCCGCACCGCGAGATCGTCGCGGGCGACGCGTACTGGAGGTCGAAGGTCTCGCAGATCATGGCGCAGTGGGGCTGGAGCCGGATGCGCTCGCCGTTGGGGAGCGTCAGCAGCCGGTTGTCGTCCATGACCGAATTCATGTTCTCGACCCAGACCGCGTCGACGTCGCCGTCGTAGATGATCCACCGCATCTCGTTCTCCTTGCCCTTGGGCAGGGGCTCGTTGAGCTCGCGGAAGAGGCGGCTCAGGACGCCGTCGGTCCAGTCGCGCGTGACCGGGTCCATGATGCCGTAGAGCTCGTGGAGCGGCTGGGCCTTGGGGTTGATGACCCAGTAGCGCACGAGCACGTTCTCCGCGGCGAGGCGCGCGGATTTCAGCGTGTCGAGCACGAGCGTCTTGCCGCCGCCCGTGGGGCCGACGATCATCGTCGTGTGGCGCACGATCATGGTCTCGTACATCTGGATGACCTTGTCGATCTGCTCCTTGTGGACGGCCTCGTCGGAGCACTTGTAGCCGCCCTTCTCGAGCTCCAGGGCGACCTCGACCTTCAAATCCTCGTAGCCGACGCGCGGCGCGTCGAGGCCGGGGAAGAGGTCCGTGATGAGGCCCTTGAAGAGGGGCACGTCCTCGAAGACGTACTTGGGCATGTTCGAGTCGCGGAGCACGCGCATGAGCACGAGATCCTCCGGTAAATCCGAATACTCGCGCTTGAGGCCGCCGGCCATCACTAACACGGATTTCAGCGACCGCAGCCCGAAGTCGTAGTGGTACTGCTTCGAGAGCTGCTCCTTCGAGAGCTTGTAGAGCACGGTCATCTTGCGCGCGAGGACCTTGGCGCCCTCGAAGCCCTCGGAGAAGAGCATGATCTCGCAGATCATCTGCAGGTCGGGCACGATCATCGTCACGGGCCGGAAGAGCGCCTTCAGGTTGTCCGGGAGCTCCGTGCGGCCCGCGTAGCCCGGGTTCATCGTGATGAAGAAGCCGCACGTCGCAAACCCGGCGACGCGCTTGACGAAGATCTCGCCCATGCCGATGTCGCAGGACGGCTTGTCGTAGATGAGCGCGTTCTGGATACTGCGGAGCTGCGCGGACCTGGGCGGGAAACGGGTGATGCGGCGTCGCTTCAACGTGCGTATGCCGCGCGCGCGCGTTCCCCAAACGCACCCACGCTTCGATACCGTGGCGAGCGACGATCGCTCGTCCAAGAACCAGCCAAAACGAGTGGGAAACGACCGAGCGAGGAGCCTTTGAAGATTCGTCCCGCGCGGGCGCGGACACGACGGACAGCACCTCGATGTTGATGCGGTTGAACTCGTCGAAGCAGCCCCAGGCGCCGGCCTGGACGAGGCCGCTGAAGATGGAGCCCATGGCCTTGTAGTCCAGACCCTCGCCGCAGTTGATGACGAAGCAGGGCAGCGCGAGCGACTTGGCCAGGTCCTTGACCGTCTCCGTCTTGCCCGTGCCCGCGGGCCCCGCGGGCGAGCCGCCGAGCTTGAAGGTCAACGCCTGCGTGATCGTCATGTAGCACCGGTCCGTCAGGGGCGTGATGACGAGGCGGCCGTTGAGGCCCATGTACTCGTAGCCGTAGCGGAAGAAGCCCGTGCACTGCTTGATGACGCAGTCGTCGATGTCGCGGTCCCAGTAGAAGCGGAGCTGGCTCTCCCAGGCGAACTCCTTGGCGTGGAGGATGGACTCGCGGATGAAGCTGTCGACGATGTCGCGCGAGTGGACGTCGATGATGAGGAGCGTGTTGACCTTCTTCCGGTTGATCTTGTTCAGGCTCGTCCGGACCTGGGCGGCAAAAGGGTGATTCAACGTCGCTTCAACGTGAGTGTTCCGCGCGCGCGCGTTCCGGAAAAAGCGCCCACGCGTCGAGACCGCTCCGAGAGATGATCGCTCGTCCAAAAATCAGCCGAAACGAGTGGAAAGCGGCCGAGAAAGGAGCCTTTGAAGTTGGGAATTTCGCTCTCTTTTGCCGCCCTCGTCCGGACCATCGCGACCAGGTCGTTGAGCTGCCCCGTGAGCTTCTGCTCCAGGTTCTTCAGCGCGTACTTGTCGCCCGTGCCCACGAGGCGGAAGGCGTCCTCGACCTCCCAGGTCCACCAGATCTGCGACCCCGCGAGCGTGACCATGCCGAGCGTGTTCGCGTCGAGGATCCAGTCGCCGCGGTCCATCTGCGCGTAGTTGTAGACGCCCGCCTTGGTGATGCCGTGGAGCGACTCCTTCATCGACTCCTCGACCTTGGTCATCCAGACCTCGACGGGCCCGTCGATGGGCGACGGCGGGTCGAGGTTGAAGCTCTCCTTCTCCGACGCGACCATGCCCGTGACGGACCTGCGCGCGGCATCGAATCTTCAACGCGACTTCAATGTACGCGTATTCGACGGTTCTGACATGGGCTCTTGTGCGCTCCGTCGAGAACTCGACGGGAGCCATCGATCCGTCCAAGCATCAGCCGACGGGAGCCATCGATCCGTCCAAGAATCGGCCGCATCGACGTCGACGCGACCGAGAATTCTGACGTTCGGCCCCGACGTCCCGGCTCGCGACCGAGCGAGAGAGTTCTGAAGTTCGGCCCCGACGCCACGGGTTGATTCGCGCGCCGCGGCGGACTTGGCGTTGCGCGCGAAGATGAGCTCCTTGACGTTGTCGAAGAGCTTGAGCATGTGGACCTGGATGGACGTCGGATCGCTCGAGCCGAGCACGGAGAGGAGCTCGTCGTCGGAGATGAAGTAGAAGCGGCTGAAGGCGTTGCGCTTCGTGTCGAGGTAGTCCGTGAGGCTCTTCTGGCACTTGTCGAGGCGCTCGCCGAGGTTCGTGAGGACGTCGAAGCAGTTGTTGGACGTGCAGGCCTTGATGACGTTGGGCTGCTGGTTCGTCGACGTCATGATGCCCTTGAAGGCCTTGTTGATCGCGTCGAACTTCTTGGCTTCTTCCGGGAGCTGCATGCGGATGTCCTCGCTGCCGACGAAGATGGACTCGAGGTACATCCACTGGCGCTGCACGTTGAACCAGACGTCGAGCGTCTCGTTGACGAGGTTCAGCGTCTTCTCCCAGGACCTCACCTTCTGCGCGAACGCGCCGACGAAGCGCGACCCGGACATGGTCTGGAGGTTCAGCATGTTGTCCTCCAGGTTCAGCTTGATCTCCTCGGCGCCGCCGAGGATGAAGCCGCGCTGCGTGCCGTCCTTGGAGTAGACGCGCACGTCGAGATTCGTCGACGCCCACGTCGACTCGATCGCGCGGATCTCGTTCTCGATCTTCAGCTCGTTGATGGCCTCGAGGACGATCTCGTCGATGGCCTCCCCAAAGTTCTGGAGCTCCATGGCGAAGATCTTCGCGAGCGTGATGGACTTGACGTTGTCGATGGGCACGCCCGTCACCTCCGTGAGCTTGTTCCAGTGGCGGTCCTTCATGGCCTCGTTCTTGAGGTTGACGATGACGGGCAGCGACTCCTTGAAGTTCGCGATGACCGTCTCGACGGCCTTGAACTTCGAGTTCTCCTTGAGGTCCCCGGGCAGCTTGCGCATCTGCTTCTCCGCGGTCTCGACGCCGCCCTTGAGCGCGTTGATGTCGAGCTCGCCCCAGAGCGACTCGGACATGGTCGTCCGGAACTCCATAAAGTCCTGCGGGCGGGCGAGGGGGGTTCCGCGGCGCGGGCGGTCGAGGGGGCGCGCGAGGCGCGGCGCGCTCGGGGCGCGGCGATTTCGGGGCGCGGCGCGTGCGAGGCGCGCCGCGGAGCGCTACGCCGCGGAGCGAACGGCGCGCCGCGGAGCGAGCGGTCGAGGCGCGACGCGAAGCCGGGCGACGGGGCTCGCGGCCGCGCGCGAACACTCGAGACGCCGACCGCGCGCCTCGTAGAGCTTGTAGATGAGCGACAGGCGCCTGAGCTCCTCGGACATGGTCGCGAGGACCGGGTAGGGCGTGATCTCGAGGTCGAAGAGGTTCTCCGCGTTGACGAGCTCGCTCTTCTTCGCGTGGCACTTGGCCAGCGTGCGCTTGTAGTCGACCAAGAGCGCGACGCCGTCCTCGAGCGTCACGCTGATGGACGCGGGCCCGCTGTCGTAGAACTGCTTGTTCATCAGTTTCAGCTCCTCCAAAAACTCGGCGGCCTGCTGCGTCGTGACCTCGCGGAACTCCTCCTTGACCTTGGCCAGCCGCAGGTCCTTCGTCTTCGCCGTGCAGTAGAGCGCGTGCCACCGCGCGGCGAGGCCCGCGGCGACGGACGACTCCTCCTCGGCGACGGCGACGTCGTAGCGCTGCAGCGTGCGGTAGCGCTCCATGACGTCGAAATATTTCAGCTCCATGTCCATGGACTCGTCCGTGATCGTCGTGATCGTGTTGAGCACGAATTTTAACGCCTCCAGATCCTCGGGCTCGATGGCCATGTCCTTCTCGTAGGCCTCGATCTTCTCCGTCAGCACGTCCATGGCCTTTTTGGAGGCGACCCGTAGAATGTCGCCGTACTGGTCGCGCCACTGGAGCGCCTGGCTCGCGATGCCCTCGGCGACGGCCGACGCGTCGATGTGGATGAACTCGATGGACGACCGCGCGTCCTGCGCGACGGCCTGCTCGCTGAGCGCCGCGTAGAAGGAAAGCTTCGCGTCGAAGAAGACGAAGGACGGCGGGTTGTCGTGGAGCTTCTCCAGGTTCGCGCGCGCCTTGGCGTCCCAGAGCTTGTACTTGCGGTCGTAGATCGTCCACGACTCGAGGTAGTTGGAGATCTTGCCCGACGACATCGTCAGGTTCTGGATGTTCGCCGTGAGCGACCGCTGCAGCGCGACGATGTGCTGGTTGGACGACACGTCCTGGAAGAAGGAGAAGACGAAGGGCTCCTCGTCCTCGTGGACGACCTGGGGCTCGCACTCGAGGCACGTGCCGCGCTTCCAGCGGACGAAGACCTTCGCGGACTCGACGATGTTCTTCACGGCCTTCGTGAAATATTTGTTGAGGTCGCTCGGCGGCGGCGTCACGACGAGGTCCTTGCCGTTGAGCGTGCATTTTACCAAAATAAACGGCGTGCAGTCCTCGTGGCGCAGCATCTCCTGGAACGCCGCGAGCGACTTCGTGATCATCATCGTGATCGCGTTGAAGATGCGCTTCTCCCAGAGCTTGTAGTAGCCCGCGAGGAGGGGCGAGTTGCCGTTGTTGGACGTCGCGACGACCTCCTCGACCTTTTTGAGCAACGACTCGATGGACCGGTACTTTTGCACCAAATTCTGGAGCCGCGCGACGCGCTTCGTCTCCATGGCCTCGTAGAACTCCGTGACGTCCGTCAGCACGGGCGCGCCCGTGCGGCCGTCGGATCGCAGGTCGATGGCCTGGGCGAGCACCGTGCCCTCGATGGCCGCGACGATCTCGTCGATCATCGTCGAGCTCTTCTGGATCTGGCTCACGACGCCCGCGAACTCGTTGAGCGCCTTGTCGCAGGCCTCGATGAAGAAGGGGATGCGCTGCGAGTTCCAGTTCAGCGGCGTGAAGCCCGTGCGTAGGACCCGCTGGAGCACGGCGAGCTGGCGCACGAGCAGCTCCGACTCCACGGGGCTCAGCGACGCGAGCAACGCGTCGTACTTCCGCAGCTTCAGCTGCAGGTTCTGGCGGTAGCTGTGGTACTTGTCCTCCTGGAGCGTCACGTTCAGCGCCGCGTCGGGGATCGCGAAGCCCATGCGGTCCAGGTACTTGGACTCGCGGATGATCAGCGACAGCTCCGCGACGAAGTTGACGCGGTACGGCGGCGGCGGCATCTTGAACTTCGCGGCCGACTTGTTGCGGCCACTCGCGCCCTTGACGGCGTCGGGCGCCGGCGCCTCGCCGTCGCCCTCGCCGGCGTCGCCCTTGGCCTCCTTGCCCGCGGCGGCGAGGATGGGCTGCTTGAGCTTCTCCGTCGCGACCTGCTGCACGTGCGCCTCCCACTCGCGGTAGAGCGACGTGATGTACGCGTCGACGGCGCGCGCGAAGGTCAGGTAGCGCTGCTTCACCTGCTCGCCGTACTCCGTCGACAGGAGGCCCTCGTGGGCCTTGAAGCGCAGCACGGGCTTCTTCGCGCGCTGGTACAGATCCCGCGCCCACGCGACCGCGCCCGCGACGGGCGGGAAGTTCTTGTAGATGGGCGGATTCTCGCGGTGCGTGTCGAAGATGCCGTGGATCGCCTCGAGCTCCTTCGTGTACTGCTGCAGAATGTCCTTGTAGCGGTCGTTGATCTGCTGGTTGATGGACTCGCGGCTCTGGATGTTCCGGAAGTTCTCGACGAGCTCGAACGCGCCTGCGCGGGACGCGAGTGATGCGACGTCGCTTCAACGTGAGTGTGCCGCGCGCGCGCGTTCCGGGAAAAGCATCCACGCGTCGAGGGCGCTCCGAGCGATGATCGCTCGTCCAAGAAGCAGCCGAAACGAGTGTACAACGGCCGAGAGAGGAGCCTTTGAAGTTTCGCGCGCTTTTCCCGCCCCGGACCGCGCCCTCCGCGGAGCGCAGCTTCTGGAAGGACTGCTCGATGAAGGACCGCGTCATGTCCTCGATCTGCTCGACGTGGTCGTGGAAGTTGTCCATGACCTTGGACCAGGACTCCTTGTAGCGCCGGTCGAAGATGTTGAAGGGCACGGACTCGAGCGGCTCGACCAGGCGCTCGACGCGCTCCATGACCTGGTCGATGCCGTCGGACTCGCCCGTGACGGCCTTGAGCTCCGGGCCCAGGAACTTGTGGAACTGGTCGAGGACCGTCGCGACCTCGAAGAGGTGGCCGCAGACGTGCGCCATGTACTTTGTGAGCTCGAAGAGCCGCTTCCGGTCGAACTCCCAGCGGATGTGCGTGCCGCTCTCCTCGATGCGCTGGCGCACGGACATGTAGGTGCTCTCCCAGGAGTTGAGCACGGTCTGTGCCTCCTTGATGACCTTCTTCGCCTGCTCGGGCGACCGCCGCAGGATCGTCTTGATGTTCACCTCCGTCTCGACCTTCTCCGCGATCTTGTAGGCGATGCGCTCCATGAGCGGGACCATGCCTGAGCGGCGCGGGGTCGGGTGCGCGCGCGGGGGGGGGGCTGGCGAGGGGCGCGCGGTCGGCGCGGGCGGCGCCCCCGGTGTCGGAGACGCGTGCTCGACGGCGCGGGCCCGACGGCCCCGGGTTCGATCGACGCCGCGGCGGACGCAGATCCGTGTTGTAGTGGCGCGAGATGATCCAGACCATGCGGATGGCGTTCATCATGGACGGCAGCGTGTCCAGGATGGTCGTGAAGGAGCCGTGCGTGATGTTCTTGAAGTGGCGCTCGAGCGTCGTCAGGAACTTGACGTTGTCCTTCGCCTCGACGTAGAGCTTCTGGAGCTCGCCGAAGTTGTAGTTGAAGGTCGCGACCATCTGGGCGTCGGCCATCTTGAGCACCTTGAGGATGTCCTGGACGTTGGGCATGTTGATCTGCTCGTAGAGCGCGCTCAGCGCGGCGTTGCGCTGGCGCCAGAACTCGATCTCCGCGAGGGGCCCCTTGGTCTTGGGCCGCTTCGAGTTCTCCGCCTCGACGACGGTGGCGACGAGCTTGGACCAGGACTCCATGGCGACCTCGAGCTGGTTGACGACGTCGTAGTCCTCGGACGCGGCCTTGGCGTCCTCGATGTCGATGTTCGGCACGGACAGGAGCACGTCGCCCTTGACCTGCTTCATGGCGTGGCTCAGGACGCTCTCGAACCAGACGACGTTCCGCTGAAATTCGTGCTTCGCCGCGCCGGCCTCCAAATCCTCGGCCTCGAGCGCGGCCGCGCGCACGGGCGAGCCGCCGGCGTCGCCCGCCTGCTCCGCGCCGCCGCCCTGGGGCACGTAGAGCTCGCGGAGGAGCGTGCCCATGTTGCTCAGGAGCGAGTCCGTGAGCGTGCCGAACTGCATGGCGTCCATGAGCTGGTCCTCGGAGCCGTTCACGGGGACGGCGTCGCCGAGCTTGAGGAAGTACTGCGCGCGCGAGTCGACGCCGCTCTGCGGGATCGTGTAGCTGTGGCAGCGCAGCTTCCGCTCCGCGGGCTTGCCCTTGTCCGCGTGGGTCTCGAAGTAGAAGAAGACGGCGCTCCCGCTCGGCGTCTCGTCGCTGAAGAAGCTCTGGAGCGCGACGCCGCCCGTCTTCGAATAAGCATCCAACGCCACGGCCTCCTCGTCGATGGCCACGGCGTCGGCCCATTCGTCCTCCGTCGCGCCCAGGTTCAGCAGCACCAGCTTCTTGATGAAGTCGGCCGCCATTAGGGCGGTGGCTCGTCGGCCTCCTATGCCCAGGAGACGACGCCGGCAGCCGCGCTTATCGTTGCGCTGGAATCCATTGGCAGCGTCGGCTGATCGAAAGTTCACCAAACCGACAGTGCATCGCGGCGCGGCGCGATGATCCATGCCGCATCGCGCCGCAGCTAGACCATGTACGCTGCGCTGCTGCTCGTCACGCATGCGCTCGCAGCACCCTACATCCTGTCCTTTGGGCGCTACGCGCTGAAGGCGACGCACGCGCGCGTGGTCGAGCGCGCGCTCGGCTCGCGGCTCGTCGCCGCCCAGCTGCGACCCCAGCGGTGCTCGCCGATCCCGTCGGACTTTTTGAGCCTCGACCTGCCCCCGGCCGCGGCGTTGTCCCTCGCGCGGCGCGGCTTCCGGCTGTCGCGCGACCGGCGGCGCGCGCGGCGCCCGCTCTTCGCGCCGCGGAACGAGAGCTTCCTCGCGTTCGCGCGCACGCGACAGCTCCGCGACGCGCCCGCGCGGCCGCAGCGGCGGTCGCCCTACGCCGAGGTCGTCGCGCCGGGCCTCGAGGCGCGGGCCGCGTGGGCACAGGGGGAAATCGGCGCGAACGCGTCCGTCGCGGTCTTCGACACTGGCCTGCCTCCCGACCACGGCCACTTCCGCGCGCGGCCCGGCGAGCTCGTGGAGCGCATCAACTGGACGAGCGAGCGCACGCTCGCGGACACGCTGGGCCACGGCACCTTCGTCGCGTCGATCGTCGGCGGCGTCGGGCCGGGCTGCCCGGGCTTCGCGCCGGGCGCGGCGCTCCACGTGCACCGCGTCTTCACGAACCAGCAGGTGTCCTACACGGCCTGGTTTTTGGATGCTTTTAACTACGTTCTGTGGCGCGGCGACGTCGACGTGCTGAACCTGAGCGTCGGGGGGCCGGACTTTGCGGACGCGCCGTTCGTCGACAAGGTCCGCGACGTCGTCGCGTCGGGCGTCACCGTCGTGTCGGCCATCGGCAACGACGGCCCGCTCTGGGGCACGCTCAACTCGCCCGCCGACATGCTCGAGGTCGTCGGCGTCGGCGGCGCGGAGGCGCGGAGTGGCCGCGTCGCGCCGTTCTCGTCGCGCGGGCAGACGCTGAGCGAGGCGCCCGGCGGCGGCGCGGGCCGCGCGAAGCCCGACGTCACGGCGGCGTCCAACGGCGTGCTCGGCGCCTTCCCCGACGGCGACGCGTGCCGGCCCATGCACGGCACGTCCGTCGCGTCGCCGTCCGTCGCCGGCGTCGCCGCTCTAATCGCGTCGGCCGCGCGGCGCGCGGGCGCGGCGACGCGGAACCCGGCCATGGTGCGCCAGTGCCTGCACGCGACGGCGAAACCCTACGGCCGCTTCAACGCGACGGAGCGCGCAAGCGACGCCGACGGGTCGCGGTCGAGCCTCTACGCGCAGGGCGCCGGCCGGATCGACGCCGCGGCGGCCGTCGCGTGCGCGGAGCAGTACAGGCCCCGCGTGACGCTCTTCCCGGCGGCCCTGGACCTCGCGGAGGACTGCCCCTACCTGAGCCCGCTCTGCGACCAGCCGCTCTTCTCGGGCGGCCGCGGCGTCGCCGTCAACGTCACCGTCGCGAACGGCTTTGGGGTTTTAGGCGCCGTCGTCGACGCGAGATGGGTCCCCGGCGAGCACGGCGAGCATCTGGACGTCGCCGTGCCGTCGGCGATCCACGGCGACGGCGTGGCGCTCTGGCCCTGGTTCGGCGCCGTCGCCGTGCGCGTCGCGCCGCGGGCGACGGGCTTCGTCGGAGTCGCACGCGGCGCGCTCCACCTCGCCGTCGAGACGCGCACCGACGCGCCGGCGGCGCGGACCTACCCCTTCGGGCGCCCCTCGGGCGCGGGCACCTGCGGCGGGGCACCGGCCGAGGCTCGCGTCTGGGTCGCGCTGCCGATTGCGGCGGCGTTCGCGGAACCGCCGCCGCGCGCGAAGCGCGTGCTCTGGGACGCGACGCACTCGCTGGCCTACCCGCCCATCTTCGCGACGCGCGACTTCCTCGGCCAGAACGCGGACCTGCTGGACTGGAACGGCGACACGCCGGAGACGAACTTCCGCGAGACGTTTTTAGAGTTGCGGCGCCGCGGCTTCTACGTCGACGTCGCGCGCGGCGACCTGCGCTGCCACGACCTCGACGCCTACGGCGCGCTCCTGATCGCGGACCCGGAGGACCTCTTCTGGGACGGCGAGGTCGACGCCGTCGAGCGCGCCGCGCGGCGCGGGTTGGGCGTCGTCGTGTTCGGCGACTGGCACGACGCGGCGCTCCTGGACAAGTCGGCCTTCTTCGACGACAACACGCAGGTCTTCTGGACGCCCGCCGTCGGCGGCGCGAACGTGCCCGCGCTCAACAAGCTGTTGGGCCGCTTCGGGGCCGCGCTCGGCGCGGAGGTCTACGACGGTCCGCTGCCCGCGGCGCTCGGCGACGGCGCGCGGTTCCAGTCGGGCAACGCCATCGCGCGCTTCCCCGCGGGCGGCTGGCTCGTCCACGCGCCGCGCCTCGCGCGGCGCCGGTCCCTCGGCCGCGCCAAGGAGCCGGACGGGCAGCAAAGGGTGGCCGTGCTCGGCGCCGCGGAGACGGCCGCGGGGCGGCTCGTGCTCTTCGGCGACTCGGGCTGCCTCGACGAGGCCCACCGCCAGGGCGGCCCCTGCTTCCCGCTGCTCCACGCGGCGCTCGCCTTCGCGGCCGCGGGAAAGCGCGACAAAGCGGTCTTCCCGGACGCCGCGCGCCTCGCCGAGGACCACGCGCGCGGCGCGGCGCCCTTTGACCACCCGGCGGACGCCATGCTCCGCAAGTACTCGCGCCACTACGCCGGCGCCGCCCACGGGCCGCCGCCCTACGACGCGCGCCCCGCGGAGCTGCCCTCGGAGCCCGCGTGCCGCGCGGCGGGCGTCGCCGCGCTCCGGAGCCTCGCGGCGAGCGAGGCGGCGCCGGCGTAATGTGACGGGGTGGGCCTCCTTTATTCTGTTGGCATCCAGGGCCTACGCTGTGGACCGGGTCCGCAGGCACTACGCGGAGGGGTACTCCCCCTGGGCTCCCCCTGGAGTCGTCTAAATTGGCGAGCCGCCAGTGCCACGGATCGAGACTACGAGAGAGACCTGGACTTGTGCGTCGTGTGGCGACGCCCCCATTCGCAAGGACGCGCAGCAGAGTCATGTCGTGGCGGGAGAAGAAGTTGGAGTATGAGAATCGCATGGCCCGAGCGAGGGGCAAAAAACTCGACACTCTCAAGACCTGCACGATCTGCGGCGCCGACAAGGCCAAGGCCTGTAAAGGTTGCGGCACGACGGCCTACTGTTCGACGGACTGCCAACGCATCGACTGGCGCGACCGGGGCCACCGGAAGGTCTGCAAGAAGATCCAGGCCGCGGAGGCGGCGCGGGCCGAAGCGCCGACGCCCCCGCCGTCGCCGCCGCGGGACGTGTTCTACGGCCCCGCGCCGCGGTCGCACGCCGACGAGGTCCGCGCGCGCATCGCGGCGGAGCACGAAGCCGCCCGCGTGCGGCGCGAGGCGAACCCGGAGCGGGAGCCGCTGTCGGCGCGGTTTGGGTCGCGGTGCCCGATCTGTTTCGGGGACTGGGACGTGAATGTGGAGAACGTGATTCTCATCTGTTGCTGCCGAAAGGTCTGCAAGTCGTGCGAGGACAAGATCGGCTTCGGCGCGTGTCCTCTCTGTCGGATACCATGCCCAAATGACGATGCGGAAGAACTCGCGCGTCTGCGCCGCCATGTGGAGAACGAAGTGCCGGAAGCGATTGTGTTTTTGGGAATCGCGTACGCCCTCGGTCGGTACGGCCTCGTGAAATCCGATAAGAAAGCCGCGAAGATTTACCGGCGCGCCGTGGAGCTCGGGGACGTGGAAGCAATGGTATTTCTTGGGGAATTTTACGAGCATGGAAGTGGCGTCAAGCTGGACAAGAAGAAGGCGGAGCGGCTGTATCGTATGGCCGCAGATCGAGGTGACGCGGTCGCGCAAAACAATGTAGGGATTTTACTTTACTCTGAGCAGAGATTTGAAGAAGCGTTCCGGTACTACGCGCTCTCGGCGGATCAAGGCTATACCGGTGGAGAGAGCAACCTTGCCTGCTGTTACAGGGACGGACGAGGCACGGAAGTCGACCTCGGCAAAGCCAGATACTGGTTCCAGCGCGCCGCTGCCAAGGGCCACGACAAAGCCATAGAGTTACTCGAGCGCTTCGACGCGCAAGTATAGCCTAACAATCTTTACGCCTTGCCGTCGCCCGAGCCCGAGATGCTGCGCTCGCGCGCGGGCGAGTCGCGCTTGGCCTTGGCCTCAGCAGTGATAGCAGCGTGCTATCTCCCGTGCACGCCTCGCGCTGACCCGCGACACCCCACCTCTAAATTCCATTACTCGCCGTCGTTGTCCGGGGCCTCGCCGTCGTCGTCGTCGCCCGCGCCGGGCGCGAGGACGGCCTCGATGTCCGCGAGCTTGTCCTCGATGTAGTCGTTGATGTCGCTGTGGTCGCGGAAGTAGTGGTCGATGGGGTCGCGGATGGCGCGCAGGATCTCGAGGTCGATCTCCGGGCTCGACTCCTGGGGCTTGAGCACGAGCGCCGCGGCCGCGCCCTCGTCCTGGAGCCCCTGCTCGCGGAGCAGCTGCTTGATCATGAACGCGACGACGGCGCTCCGGTCGCTGAGCTTCCGCAGCTCCTCCTCGCCCCGCGCGAGCGCCGCCTCCTCGCCCTCGAGCACGGCGCAGGCGTCGTAGTAGCGCCGCTTCGTGCGCTCGAGGGACTCGCGCTGCTCCTCGTAGTCCTCCTCGCACTCGCGCTCGGACCGGTAGAGCCGCTGCGGCGTCGCGTCCTTGAGCTTCGCCGCGGACTTCGTCGACGGCCGGCGCGTCGCCTGCTTCGTCGGGGTCATCTCCAGGGGCGCGCGGCGCGCGGGGGCTGCCTCCATCTCGTGGATGTTACAGCCTCGAGCAGCCTGTGTCACAGCCTCGCTGGCCGGGGGTCGTCCCGCGCCGCTGCGCGACGCGTCGCCGGGACGACGACTAGGGGCGGCGTGTGGGGGGCCCGAAGCTGCACTTACCTACCCGCCGCCCGGCGGCTTCCAAAATTCGAGGACCGAAGGCACGAGGTCAGCTGGCGCCGGGCGACCGAAGCGGAACTCGAGGTACTTGACGAGGCAGCTCCGCGGCGCCGTGAGGACGCGGCGGTACGTCCGCACGAGCTGGTCGTAGCCGCCGGCGGCCTGGACGCGGTCCATGTAGCGCCAGGCGGAGTCTCTGTCGCGCGAGTTCCAGTTTGGACCAACTGGAAGGGGTCCTTCGCGTTCAATGCCCGCGAGCGATTCGTCGTCGAAGGTCGCGCCGGCTCGGAGCAGCGGCTCGAGGCAGGTCCGCTGGCCGTAGTAAAGGGCATTCTCGAGTGGCGTTCGACCTTCCCCGTCGCGAGCATTGATGTCTATGCCGGCGTCGAGAAGGACTTGAACGGCGGCGAGCTCGCCGCTAAAAATTGCGAAGTTCAGAGCCGTCCATCCAAATCCGTTCACGTGCATTGCGTCCGCACCAGCTTCGAGTAGCACATGCACGACGTCTACGTGTCCGTTCCCTGCCGCGAAGTGGAGGAGATCTGAGTCCAATTCGCACCCCACCGCGAGGAGCGCCTTCACCATGGAGACGTCCCCATCCCAAGTGGATGCCTTCTGCAGAAGAGTCCACGTGAATCTTCGACCGGTTTTTTCCGAAAAAAAAGGTTTTTTCACGGCCAGGTCCACCTCGTACGCCGCGAGCGCGCGCCGCACCAGGTCCGCGGGGATCGAGCCCTCGCCCGAGAGGAGCCCCGCCATCATGGAGGCGAGCAGCTCGTTCGTCCGCTCGTTCCGCGTCTCGGCCAGGTCCACGTCGAACGCCGCGAACACGCGCTTCACAACGTCCAGGCTGATCGACTCGGCGCCCACGGCCTGGGTCTCCATGCTCCCCCGCAGACGGGCTGCCGGCGCCCCAGACGCCGTGCCTTTGGCTCTCGCCTCCGCAGGTGCAAGTCTTGGTTGTTGATGCGAAATAGAACTTCACGATGGATAGGTCGCCGTCCCGGTCGCCGCCCCGGTAGCGGTGCCCCCCGCGCCGCACGATCGCCTGCGTCTAGCGCTCCTTTAGGGCGGTCCGCGCGGTCGCGCGCGTCGCCGCCTACATGGCGGCCAGGCCGGCGTAGGGCGGGCCGCGGGTCTCGATGCCGCAGTTGTCGGAGCCGCGGACGATCTTGAAGTAGCCCTCGTCGCCCCAGGACGTGTTCCAGGAGTTGGCGACGAGCCAGTAGTCCTTGCCGCCCTCCGTGCCCCAGCCGACGATCTTGACGGCGTGGCCGCCCTCGGGCATGAGCTCGTACCACTTCTTCGCGTAGACGCCGGACTTGTAGGACATGAAGGACTTGTAGACGTTGAAGGCGACCTGGATGGGCCCGTGGGTCATGATCTCCTTCTGCATGTTCTCGACGCCATTGACCGCGTAGGCGGACGCGGCCTTGTACTTCGTCCAGGACGAGCCGTCCTTGCACGACGTCTCGCACTTGGGCGCGTCGCCGCCGCCGGCCGTGTAGGGGAAGCAGGCGTCGGTGACGATGCCCGTGTTCTTGAGGTAGGTCCAGGCCGTGCCCAGGTTGCCGCCGTTGCAGCCCTGGTCGACGCGGTCGCACGACACGAGGTCCTCGGGCGAGAGCACGGGCTCGGCCTTGTTGTGCTGGATGGCGTTGCGGTCGCTGAGCACCTCGGCGGCCGAGAAGGCCCAGCAGGAGCCGCACTGCTGCTGGTCGCGGATGGGCTGCACGAGGCCCTTCCACTGCGTCACCGCGTTGAACTCGGACGGCACGTCCGTGATGTTGTCATAAAAATCCTGGGACCGCGTCTCGCCGAGGTACTCGGCGATGTGCGGGCTCGTGTCGGCGCCGAGGAGGCCCTTGACGTCGGCGTAGGTCATGCCCGCGAAGCGCTCGTTGACGCCCGCCTTCCAGGACATCTCCTCCTGGTTGAGGTAGTTCACGTGCTGCTCGTCGTTGATGAGCGCGCTGTCCTCGGGGTGCCAGGCGGCGAGGACGGCGGGCGCGAGCACGATGGCGGCTTTGAGGGACATGATGGCTGGGGTTGCTTTGCTTTTAAAGCGAGTCTGCCGCCCAGAGCCGCCAAATTTAATAGTGGCCAATGGGAAGACACCGGTGTCGGGACAAATAATAATATTTACCTTGCGACGCCTTCAATTTGCACTTCAATTTGCTTGATATCGTTCAGGATGCCGCGCGCGCGCGGCTGCGGCCGCACCTTCACGCACGCGCCCGCGGCCGCCGCGCACACGAAGGCCTGCCGCTACGGCTGCCCCCCCAGCAGGCGTGTGATTCCCCGCCCCCGCCCCCCCTGTGCGACCCGTTCACGACATAACGCCCCGCTGTACCCATCCTTAGGTTTTTTACACTGTGGCACTAATACTAATAATAATTTACAATAACAACAACAACAGTACATTTCATTTTTTTCTTGGTGTGGCGGCCGTGACATGGCGTCCGGCAGAGCCACGTCCCACGGCGCTTCGAGGATGTCCGTGGGCGACACCTCCAGGCAACGGAGGAAGCCGGCTTGGGGGAGCTGGTCGGACGAGCAGCCGCTGCCCCAAAGGACAGTCGTCCCCGAAGTCGACGGAGACCGCGGCCGGCGGGGGGCGCGCCGCGGCCGACGTGACGGGGAAGGCGCCGCTCGCGAAGCGTTCGCGTCCGCCGCCGATCTCGCCCACCCGCACGGCCAACCCGCCGTCGTCGCGCTTGGCGAGGACGGGCGAGAAGTCGAAGGGCGCTCCGTGGAACGAGACCTCGACGAGGCCGCCGTCGGGCGCGGCGCGCGGCGCCGCCGCCTCGTCCGCGACCGCGGCCTCCGCGTCCTTGACCTCCTCCTTGGCCTCGACCCGGGACTCCCCATCGATGTAGACCTTGGCCATCCCGGGACCGAAGAGGCCCGCGACCTTGGCCTTCGACGACTTCGGCTTGACCGTTCGCGGCGCGTAGGGGCCGTCGCGCTCCTTGGGCTCCGTGAGCTCCGGGAAGACCTCGACGATGGGCGCCGCCGCCTCGTCCGCGTCCTTGACCTCCTCGTCCACGCCCTTGGCCTCGACCCGGGACTCCCCATCGATGTAGACCTTGGCCATCCCGGGACCGAAGAGGCCCGCGACCTTGGCCTTCGACGACTTCGGCTTGACCATTCGCGGCGCGTAGCCGTCGCGCTCCTTGGGCTCCGTGAGCTCCGGGAAGACCTCGACGATGGGCGCCGCCGTCTCGTCCGCGTCCGTGGCCTCCTCGTCCTTGACCCGGGATTCCCCATCCGTGTACAAGTAGACCTTGGCCTTCCCGGGACCGAAGAGGCCCGCGACCTTGGCCTTCAACGACTTCCGCGACGACTCGACCGGGCCGTCGTCGTCGCGCTCCGTGAGCTCCGGGAAGCGGCGCGCGGCCTCGACGTCGTCGTCCTCGCCGTCCGCGTAGACCGCGATGTCCGAGCGGTCCACGACGGCGATGTCGTCCGGCCGGGCCGGGAGCGCCTTGCGGTCGCCCTTGGTGAGCGCAACGGGGTGCTTGCTGCGGTAGCGGTCGATCATGAAGGCGAGGGGCAGCGCGAGGATGCCCGCGATGGTCAGGAGGACGACGACGAGCAACCAGATCGGCAGCTCGAGGCTCGCGGTGTCGATCTCGTCGTCGACGTCGTCGGTCGGCGCGGGCGTCGGGTCGGGCGTCGGGTAGTAGACGACGGCGACGTCGACGGAGAGGCCGCCGCAGGCTTCCGTGGCCTCGGAGGTCTCGTTCAGCCCGTAATATTCTTCGATCCTGGCCTGGATCATCGCGGCCGTGTCGCCGAGGTGATCGTACGTCGCGAGCCGCCGCCCCAGGCTCGCCAAATACGCGTCGATCTGGTAGTCGAACATGGTGATGTCCGCGCGGACGTCGCTGCAGCCCATCGGGGTCGGCGCGGCCGTCGCGTTCGTCGCGTTCGCCGCGAGGAGCCGCCGCCGGCGGCCGTCCCCGCAGTTCGCCACGGTCTCGACGGCATCGGTGGACAGGCCCAGGGCCGCCGCGAAGAACTTGCGGTTGATCTTCATGCCGTCGTGGAGCTCGAGTTTCGAGTCGCCGCAGGAGTCGACGCTGTCGTCAGATAAGCCAAAGTCGACGACGACGGCGAACTCGACGGGCGCCGCCGTCGGCGCCGCGGACGGCGCGGCCGTCGTCGGCGGCGCGCTGGGCCGCGGCGCGGGCACGCGCGTCGGGTTGCCGGGGAGCGCGGTCGGCGCGGCGCTCGGCGCGGCCGTCGACGGCGCGAGGCTCGGCGCGTCCGTCGGCGCCGCCGCGGGCGGCCGCGTCGGGTTGCCCGGGAGCGCCGTCGGGGCGTAGGTTGGCCTCGACGAGGACGGCGCGGCCGTCGAGGGTGTCGCCGTGGACGGCGCCGGCGACGGCGGAGGCGACGGCGGAGCGGACGTCGGCGCGGGCGTCGGGTAGTAGACGACGGAGACGTCGACGGAGAAGCCGCCGCAGATTTCCGTGGCCTCGGCGGTCTCGTTCAGCCCGTAATAGCCTTCGATCATGGCCTGGATCGCGGCCTCCGCGTCGTCGAGGTCCTCGTACGTTGCGAGCCGCCGCCCCAGGCTCGCCAAATACGCGTTGATCTCGTAGTCGAACATGGTGACGTCCGCGCGGACCTCGCTGCAGCCCGTCACGTTCGGCGCGGCCGTCGCGTTCGTCGCGTTCGCCGCGAGGAGCCGCCGGCGGCGGCTCCTCGAGGGCGTAACACTTCTTGATGCTCTAGAGAAATTCGTCGCCCCACCACAGGTCGCCACGGTCTCGACGGCGTCTTCGGACAGGCCAAGGGCCGCCGCGAAGAACCCGCCGTCGACCTTCGAGCCGTCGTGGAGCTCGAGGGCCGTGTCCTCGCAAGAGTTGACCGTGCCGTCAGGTAAGACGAAGTCGATGGCGACGGCGAACTCGACGGGCGCCGCCGTCGGCGCCGCGGACGGCGCGGCCGTCGTCGGCACCGCGCTGGGCCGCGGCGCGGGCACGCGCGTCGGGTTGCCGGGGAGCGCGGTCGGCGCGGCGCTCGGCGCGGCCGTCGACGGCGCGAGGCTCGGCGCGTCCGTCGGCGCCGCCGCGGGCGGCCGCGTCGGGTTGCCCGGGAGCGCCGTCGGGGCGTAGGTTGGCCTCGACGAGGACGGTGCGGCCGTCGAGGGTGTCGCCGTGGACGGCGCCGGCGACGGCAGGGGTGACGGCGCCGCGGTCGGCGCGGCACTCGGCACGGCCGTCGACGGCGCGAGGCTCGGCGCGTCCGTCGGCGCCGCCACGGGCGGCCGCGTCGGGTTGCCCGGGAGCGCCGTCGGGGCGTAGGTCGGCCTCGACGTGGACGGCGCGGCGGTCGAGGGTGTCGCCGTGGACGGCGCCGGCGACGGCGGAAGCGACGGCGCCGCGGACGGGCCCGCGGACGGTGCGGCCGTAGGTGCGGCCGTCGGCGCGACGGACGGCTCGGGCATCGGCGCGGCGGACGGCGCGGCCGTCGGCGCGGTCGTAGGTGCGGCCGTCGGCGCAGCGGACGGCGCGGCCGTCGTCGGCGCGGGCGTTAGGACTGCCGTCGGCGCCGCCGACGGCTCACGGAAGCAGCGGTTGAGCGCCTCCGAGTCGGGCACCGCCGGCGCTGACTCCCCCGCGTCGTTCAGGGCGGAGACGGTCAGGTGGACCACGACGGAGCAGGGAATGCGGTCGAGCATCGTGAAGCTGAAGGACTCGGGCTGGCGCCGCTTGCCGTAGCTGGACCCGTTGCCCCCCCAGCCGCCGGAGCCCCGCTCCCAGAGCGAGCGTCCGACGACGTCGCCGAGCTTGCGGCGGCGGAGCGACGACGCCTCGACGGTGACGAGGGCCGTCATCGTCGCGTTCGTCTCGTTGGTCTCCGCTTCGTAGATCGTGTAGTGCGTGGGGATGCCCCCCTCGCCGGAATCGACCCAGGTCAACGCGGAGCTGTTGGAATCGAGCGTGACGTTCGCGGGAGGCCCCGGCGGCTCGAGCGCCGTCGGCGCCGCCGTCGGCGAGAACGTCAGCGTCGGCGCCGCCGTGGTGGGGTACGGCGTCGGCGCGGGGACGGGGACCTCCGTCGGATTCGACGTCGTTGGCGCCGGCGTCGGCGCCGGCCGCGGAGCCGCGGTGGGATTGCCAGGCGCGGGCGTCGGCGCGGGCGTCGGCGCCGGCTGCGGAGCCGCCGTCGGATTGCCAGGCACAGCCGTCGGCGCAGGCGTCGGGGCGGGCCGCGGCGAGGCCGACGGCTCGCCCGGAGCGGCGATCGGCGCCGGCGTCGGCGCCGGTCGAGGGGCTCCCGTCGGATTGCCAGGCACGGCCGTCGGCGCCGGCGTCGGCGCCGGCTGCGGAGCCGCCGTCGGATTGCCAGGCACAGCCGTCGGCGCAGGCGTCGGGGCGGGCCGCGGCGAGGCCGACGGCTCGCCCAGAGCGGCGATCGGCGCCGGCGTCGGCGCCGGTCGAGGGGCTCCCGTCGGATTGCCAGGCACGGCCGTCGGCGCCGGCGTCGGCGCCGGCTGCGGAGCCGCCGTCGGATTGCCAGGCACAGCCGTCGGCGCAGGCGTCGGGGCGGGCCGCGGCGAGGCCGACGGCTCGCCCAGAGCGGCGATCGGCGCCGGCGTCGGCGCCGGTCGAGGGGCTCCCGTCGGATTGCCAGGCACGGCCGTCGGCGCCGGCGTCGGCGCCGGCTGCGGAGCCGCCGTCGGATTGCCAGGCACAGCCGTCGGCGCAGGCGTCGGGGCGGGCCGCGGCGAGGCCGACGGCTCGCCCGGAGCGGCGATCGGCGCCGGCGTCGGCGCCGGTCGAGAAGCTCCCGTCGGATTGCCAGGCACAGCCGTCGGCGCAGGCGTCGGGGCGGGCCGCGGCGAGGCCGACGGCTCGCCCGGAGCGGCGATCGGCGCCGGCGTCGGCGCCGGTCGAGGCGCGGCCGTCGGATTGCCAGGCGCAGCCGTCGGCGCCGGCGTCGGCGCCGGCTGCGGAGCCGCCGTCGGATTGCCAGGCACAGCCGTC